TAAATTTTACTGTGTCAAATCCAAAATCAACATTAAATGCACACAATATTTCTGTATGTTATCAAACAAAACTCAAATTTAAACTTTATACAAATAAAACCCCAAAATTCGTGTTTTTACACAATTTTGTTTGGGTTTTTCAGTAATCAATCATTGATAAAACATGTAAACGTCATAAAATTAGTATTAACAGATAGATAATTGAAATATTTATCGTTCTATATCAAATTATATAAACAATTTTAATGGTAAATAAGAAAAAATCACGAATTTCATTGCAAAAATCGGTCAAAAACTGAAATTTCCACTTTTTTACCTCATTTTATCTCAAATATCTCCAATTTACTCTGTCAAATTACACATAAACATAAACTGCATAAAATATTTCTGTTTGTTATTAAACGAAACTCCAACCTAAACTTTGACCTGCGTTTCTAAATAATTCTACCAGCTTGATATGCCAAATTTACATATTCTCGTATTTATACACATACCCAAATCCAATGCACATCTACTCATAAGAAAGTGTAAAGTACACATCTCACAAAACCTAAAAATTACAACTAATAACAAACGTAACATTTAAACTCCAACCAAAAACCACGTTTTTGTTTAAACTTTAAAAACCACACATGAGCGCCAAGCCTTAAAATTTAAATATTTCACGTTTTTCAACGCAAACCTGCTGTCGAAACATACCTCACGTTATCGAAAAGTATGCCCTTGAAAAATAGGAATACATAATCAGAAATAATGACAATGAAAACGTCCAGAAACCACCGGCGTCTTATCAATTCAATACAGAACACCACAGCGCACTCAATCCGCAATCCAACTCTCACACTTTTACTTTTTCAAATAAGCACGTACTAAATTCGTCAACTTTGCGTGTTAATAAAGTATTACCTTGCATTGGTGACGTCCGTACCTTGCACAGCCATACGAGAAACACACTGCTAAATATTATGTTTCACAGATAATCGTATAAAATACAAGTGTGTCTTCTTACATTCCACGCAAAACGCAAGTATTTTATCTTATCTTATCGCGAGAAATTTCTGTTGTGATTGATAGCGTAAAAAAATATTTATCCAAGTGTCATCTTTGGAGAGTTTAATTTTTTAATTAATTTTTATAGGTTAAATCACTGAAAAAAGTAGACAAGCGCGGAGGAGAAAAAAAAAACGGTAATTCCGCGCTGATGGTCATGCGCAACTTTTTCATGCATATACAACACCATCGGCCATCATAATTTAATGACCCAATTCGTGCCAGTATCAAATTACCACATATACTCGTACACAAGCGTAGAAACAGATATACCGATAGATGTTACACATCTAGAGCTTCGCAGACACGTAATGAAATTACGATGCGTTCTTATTAAGAGTTATTAAACTATTAATTATCTATACCAAGAAATACATGAAGAAAAAATACAGTTAAAGTAATTTTTATGCAAAAAAAAAATTGAAATTTCGTACAAAAAACGCTAAATTCGTATTTTTCGCCAAATTTTTTGTGTTTTTTAGCTCTCATTTGTTGATAAAACATCAAAACGTCTTGAAATTTGTGATAAAATGAAGATAATTGATGTATTGACAGATCTAGACTAAATTATATCAAAATTTTTGAGAGTAAATAGGAAAAAATCGTAATTTTCTGTGCAAAAATCGGTCAAAAATTGAAAATTTCTCGTTCTCGCCTCATTTTAACGCAAATATTTTCATTTTACTCTACAATTTTACATAGAAATCAACAAAAAACTAGCAAATTATGTAAAATTTTACTCATTTCTTTTAAAAATTGTTGTAATATTAATATTATTACGAAAAAACCGCTTCTAAGGTCTAAAAAGTCAAAAAAATTACTTCCTACTTACTCCTGTGGTGAAAAATAATCCAGAAATAGAATCCTGTGAGTTAGTTGAACATGCGCAGTGTAAAAATGTCTCCCCTAGTTGCAATTTCAGGTTAAATCTAATCTATTAGTTGCATTTTCTCAAAAAACTTTAAAAATTAAAAAAAAAAACATCAGTATTGTCCATTTTCTGTATGTCTAATGTGTCTGACAGTATAATAACTTACCGGAAGTCAAATTAACATTTCGTACGCGATGGTTAGTAGGTGAGTTTGTGAGTTATCCAAGTGTGTATCCTGTGTGTCTGCCTAAACATAGGTACCAATACCTCACCAGTTGCACACGCGTTGCACGTGTATGCTCATTATACAAAGAATGGAACCGTCAAATGAACAAAAATACTCAAATACACTGCGATTCTAATACATAGCGACAGGTGCCTTTGCGTACATTACTAAGCAGGAAAAAAAACGAAATAAAAACGTGAGTTTCAAGCATAATCATCAACAATTCATGCTGTATAGTGCACACCGCTGTAAATACAAGTAAATACCACTTGGAAGCACGCGTATTATACGTCTGTGTCTGCTTTGCAAACGTCAACGATGGGCGCTTTCAACTCAACTGTGTTTAATAACTCCGTAACAGTACAAATAACACTTTTGCGAGACAGCAGCAGATGCGTTTCAAGTAAATTAAGCAATAAATATGAGAAAAACACTCGGTATTGAAGTGAATTAATTTTATATCAAGTGTAGTCTGTGAAATTTAAGCAAATTTCGTGTTTTTTGAGAGAAATTTTGCGTTTTTGGGTTGGAAAAAGGCATCTAACTACAAATAAATAAATAAACTATCCCCTAACATCAATATTTATTAAAATTTCTAAGGTACAGTTTAAAAAAAACAGAAATTTAGGCAAATTTTGCTAATTTTAAGCAAAATATCGAGTTTTTGTCACTTTTTTTGTGTGTTTTTGGGCCATACAACCACCAAATATCATCAAAATTTTAAAAAGCATGACTTAAACAATAAACTAATAAAATATCTATCATTCAACACTAAATTTTAGTAAAATTTCCAACTAAAAATAAAAAAAAAGCTTTTTTTTTTTCGATAATTTCTACAATTTTAGTGATTTTGGCGCGTTTTTATCGCTATTTTTGGGCTACAACCTCCAAAAAACTTACAAATTTTATAAAACATGCCTTAAAGTATAAACAAATAAAATACCTACCAATCAACACTAAACTTTCTTTAAATTTCCATCTAAAAATCGAAATAAATTGCTATTTTCCATAATTTCTCCTATTTTTCTACATTTTTAGTTTAAATTTCTGCAATAAAAACACAACCAATCATCGTAAACTAATCAAACTAACACTAAAATCAACCTAAACAAATTATCTGCAATACTAAAACAAAAACCGCCCATACTCTCCAGCAAAACCTATAAAACATTACAATTTTTATATTTTTTCATATCTTACGCCGCAAAACTGTGTGTGATGAGTGTTTCAGCCACATACAACAATCCTACCTGCATGTTTATGATTACACTTAATCTAAACACCCGTATACTCTTCTTTTCGCTGTCGCTGTCATTAAATAACACTTCATAGAGTCGAAAATCAATAAAAACAAAACATACGCACATATCTCAACAAACAGAGGTCAAAAAACAGTCGACTATTCTCTACAAAGGTGATAAACCGCTGAATACAATTCAAATAAAACGTCTCACATTACGTATGACCTCAATGTATTCGTAATTATCAAGAATAATGAATTTAATTAATTCCTAGACAAACCGATTGAAATTTTCCATCAAACACGTAAAAATTTTAATTATTTCATGATAAACCAAACAAATTTGTCTTTCGTTAACTCAAAACAACCATTAAACAAACAATAAAGATAACAAACAATAAACAATCTAAGCTGTTGTTTATTTATCGCTAAACTAATGAAAATGAAGGAATTAAACACTTATTTTTCGTGTTATTCACGTAATATTAATCAATAATGATTAACACTCGGTCACATGATCAATACTAACGCAAATACATGCAAATATAACAATAATCTCCGCCATTTTTGCACAAACAAAACAATTTTGTTATTATTATGATAAAAAGTTGAAATTTTTCATATGCCACTCACCGTATACATAAAAGGGGCACCGGGAATATAATAGCCACGACTGCTCATTGTCGAATTGTAATTTTATCAATCTCCTTGTGCACTGAGCGTACAAATACACGAATCACACCAGCGTTTGTCTCGCCTCGCCACATTTCTCACTTACGCCCAGCAGTCGTAACAAGGTCAGCTGATTTGACACGGGCGAGGGTGTTCACACACAGCACGATTAGGGATTAATCCTTTGGCACTACCGGTGAGGTGTTAACGCACAGAGGTGATAGGTCCGGGTGTGATTGTGCAAGTTTGCATTCGCTGAGGTCGAGCGACGACTGCGAACGACATGACTCACGCGAGTCGTGCGCGGCCAACTGCTAGAATGTTTCTGGTTGGTTTTGACATCCTGCGAGGTGTGCAGGAAAAAGCGCCGCGTGCGGCGCACAAGAGAAATATAATAGTAGTGTTAATCACGTACGCTAGATGGCGGTGCATGTACTAGAAGTTTATAATTTGTATTTTATTGTTTAAAATATTAAGAAATACATTGAAAATGTTAAGTAGTAGTAAATATTAATTCACGGCCAAGTAAATAAATATTTTTTTACTTTTTTTGGATATTTTTTAATGAATAAGAAATATTTTTTGATTTTTTACCCGCAGGAAAAGCGCCCTCAGCGGTGGTTGAAACAAACACAGTTTTAGTTTATATTATCAACGCCAGATGGCGCCAGATTTAAATTTTGACAGTTTATTGTTTAAACAATTAATAAAAACGTTAAAAATGTTATATAATGATGAAAAATTACTTCTTTTGTGTATATTTAAGTTTAAATAGTTAATTTACTTTAGAATATATAATAATTTAACGTTTCGTTTGCTTTCGCATACGGTTTCTTTAATTTTACAGTTTTAACAATAATTACACCGAGTTTTAATTGTTTCTAATTACTATTGTTGGTTACTAATCAAAACCCATTAAAACTGTCAATGTAAAAGTTAAAACTTCAATTCCTTGACGTAAAATTCTAAATATTTCAATTTTTGTTGTAAAAATGGGCGAAATTCGCGAAATTTGCGGCGTTAGCACCGAAAACAATGAACTTTTAATACAACTCTTACTGAATTCGGACGGAGGATTAAACCTCCAAGATCAGGAAATACCATCAAATTATCTCCTCGGTGATGGCATCCGCATGTACCGCGAGTGGAAAAAAGTAAAACTGCATCGTGAACATTTGACAAATTGCATATTTGTCTACGACAAGAAACTAATCCCCGCACGAATGACAAGTGTGAAACGCACACCGCGTTCCCCCGGCGAAAATCCATTCGCTTGTTGTTTCAAAAACAAAAAAACAAACGAAGAATAACACATCACTTGTCACCTTATCCAACACAAAACAAGTGACATTCAAAAAAATATTCCAAATCCCAGTTGTGTGTGAATATTTGCCTTGTATCATAATTTTCGGTGAGTGTATAATTACATTGTCGTCCATTTTGTCCTCATGCATAAACATGCACGTGCGCGCATGCGCAGCTTTCGATAGATCTGAATATGCTTGACACAATCAACAAAAGCGTACAGACACTTGTAACGGTGAGCCCACATTTGCTAAAGCCTTCGGATGCCCCTGAAAAGGTGCATGTGCGTGCCTGTATTGTGATCCAAACCGAAGCACAACTAGATTACAACGAAACCTTCGAAAAAGTCGAAGAAGCATTGAAATACACGCCATATTCCTATATTCTAAGAGACGCCATTAAAGTCGAGGATCTCCCAAAGAAATTTGTGCTAAAATTTGATGATAAGATCACCGAAGAGGATATTGAGAATTTCGACGAGTATTCCACCTTTGACCCCGCGGATCTTGCTCAGATCCTGTCGGGATCCGTTTGTGGGAAGAGTAATTTAAAGCAGGTTTCTGAAATGGCTGATGAACAACAGAAATTGGTTGAGGTGGGATGTCAGACTGATCTGATGGTGAGACCCATGTTCCTGGAACTGGATGATGTCGCCCAGGTCATGTGTAATCTTCAGGTACAGACTTCAAGGACATTCACACCTAATGCCACCATGGATCAAGTTGATAAAGACCTACATTTGTTTTATCATCATAAAGGTTCTTCAGAGGCACCCACAGCTAAGAAAACCTCACCTGTAGAAACCCATGAAGGTACCTTCAATTCCTAACTTAATAAAATTCCTATTAACCTAATTTTTATGAGTTTTTAAAGGTAAATCTGAATCTAGGACCAGATTAGAAGAATACATCAGAACCCACCCTATTACAAACCTAACCTCTGAAGATATCAGAAAGATCTGTGCGAATTGTTGCAGTGAAGATGAGGTCCTAGAAAAAATCAAGTCTTGGTATGACGAAGTTGGTGATATTTTGGAAGGAGAAGACTTTTTGGGAGAAGAGAACATTGATCCTATCACAGGTGTGAATCTGGATACAATCGAAGCTGAAATCATAGCCAATGCTGATATGACAGCTGAAACCCTACAGACCCAAGCAGATCGGATGGATAAACGGTATAGTTATCCAACCCAGGATATAGAAATCCAATGCAAGGAGTTTGCTGATCATAAGGAACCTGGGGTTTGTAGAGGTGACGACAGGAAAAGAAACAAAGGGTGTACCTGTGATTGTCAATTATATTCCAAAGATAAAAAGGATATGAAAGGTTATGATTTTGGTATTTGTGCAAAAAAGATGGCGGAGCTGTGTAAGTTGGTTCTCGGAGTGAGTTTGGGCGAAGCAAACTCCTCACCTGAATTGATTGGTCAAACATCTTCAGATCTACCATTAAAGGCGCGTGCGTGCACGAATCGTAAATGTAATTGCCTCTATTCCAAAGGTTGCCGGCATTGCGAGAAAGCGTTAACCATGGAGAAGAAACTGGCGATAGATGACCCTGCCAGATTGAAGTCCTGCAAAAAGTTCACTGCTTCACAGAATATCGAGTTCCTCACTGACGTAGATGGAGAATACGCTGATGCTTATCTGGAGCAATTGGAACAGGATTGTGCTTTCACCCAGACTGATTCGGGAGATGATTATTTCGGGACTCCTGATGCCCCTTATATCCCACCTCCTCCTTGTACATGTTTGACTAATGTGGAGATGCCCTGGGATATGATTACCATACCACCAACTCCAAAAGTATTATTTTGATATCCCAAAACTTTTTGATTATTTACTTTCTAGAAACGTCCCATCCCACCTGAAGAAGAAGAAATCATGAAATCCCTTCCTGAAGAGGTTAAAGCTCAGTTGAAGGAGTTGACAGTTGGGGCCATCACCCAAGAACAACTTTTAGCCCTAACTAAAGAGTTCCTAGATGATAAAATGGGTAATTCCAATGATATTGAAGAAATCCAGAAGCAGATCCTAGTAGAGAAGGCAAAGATTGATGAGGAGATTGCAGCGGCCGCTGGTGAAGATGAAGGTGTTGAAGAACCCCAAGAAGAACAATATAAACCATGTAGACCAAGACCTCCTTTGAAATCATTTCAGGTTTTGATCCCGAATGTGAGGTGTATAATGAACCATACCTGGATAGAATGATGAGGTACTTCTGTGAAGAAGAAATGGAAGGTATAGGTGAGTGTACATCACGTGTGGAGATGCCCTGGCATGAAATTGAATTGGCCAAGACTATAATCATCAGAAAAGGTAAGCATCCCTGTGAACGCAGGGCGAAACCATGTTTTGACAAGGATCCCAACCGGAAGTGTGGTCCTGAATACCGACGCAAGAAGGCTTTGTATGGTCCCACATCTAGTAACCCTAATATCAACACAAAGGGAATACCAGGTGCACCTGGAGATGATTGTATCTGTCATGTTTGTGGGAGTAGTTCCCAACCGATGATTCCCACGAAAAAAGGTGAAGATGCTTCTGTTACGTGTCTCTGTAAACCTAGGGAACCTTCAGAACCATCTGAAGTTGTGATTTCTTGCTTGAAAGGTAAAAAGAAACAAAAGAAGAAACCTTCTACCAGTATGCCCATGATACCCAAGAAGACTTTGAGTTGTGGGTGTCTGGTTAGTACAGAAACCCTTCCTTCAAGCAAACAATCCAAACCAGGGGTACAATTAGGAGGTAGGACATCTCCCCAATCAAGAACAGAACGGATAGCAGCATTATTGGATTCTTGTAAGAAAGAAATGGAACCTATCAAGGATGGTATCAATCAACTTCGAGCTAGAATCAGGAGTTGAATATACCTGACCTTATGGCATACCAGGAACCTCCCCAACTGCTGGGTGGTTCACCTGGGACCTCAGGAGGGTTAAATTTTATGCCTCCGATGTACTACCCACCTCCCATGATGTGTTATCCTTATCCCCGATACCACCATGTATGTACCCGCCTCCTGGACCTAGCAATTCAGCAAATGCCCAGGTTACAAGACTACCTCCAAATATGAACATCCCTAGCTCCTCTAAGAAGTGTAAATGTATGTCTAAACACCATCAGAGGGTTCCTGCAAGTTACCCTTCCTCCTCAGAGAATACCACTACAGATTATGAAGAAGAACGACGTAGACACAAGAAAAAAGGTCACAATCACGCTAAAAGAAGCAGGAGTAGACTTATATGCAGTTGTAGACCACAGGAATCAAAAACTGTTTGGTGTCCTAGTATTCAGAGTTGTAAAAGGGCAAAGAAAGGGTACCATCTGAAGAACGACCTCAGAGTAGGTCTTCTTTGTGTCTATGCCTCACAGGAGTTCCACTAGTAAAGGAACAACCACAACGAAGAAATCTTGTAGGCATTCAAGGATTCCCCGGTTGGTTTCACAGACTTCTTCAAAAAAATCTGGATTAATATGTCCTGCCCCTTCATTGGCCACCCAGAAAACCGCTTTCATCTCCTGCACTTCCCACTTGTCAGATAAAAGTGAAAAAAGTTGCAAATCCTACAAATCCACCAACAATTCTCTCTGTGAAGATTGTAGTGTTATGATGGTTGAGAGTTGCGCAACCCAAAGTGCACGATGCAGCTACCCGCGTAACAAATCATCCATTTTAAAACCGCAGTCAAAACCTGACCTGGCTACAGCAGCCACATCGTGTAAGATACGATTTAATGACAAAGTTAAACATACAAATACAAAATGTCCCGGATATAACCCCAAAATGGCCGAGGCGAGCGTAGAGGTTAAACGTGGACGACCTGTCGAAGATAGCAGTAATGAATCTGTGTGCACACCGTGCAAGTCTCGCAATGCTTGAAAATTTAAGTCTGAGTTGAAATTATACTGTTAAAAATAAATTAATTGACTATTAATTAGTGTACGTCTGGTGGTAATTAAGCTAGTTGGTGTGCAATCAATAAAGCAGCGCATGTTTCCGGTCGGCGGAGAAGTGCATCCAAACGTGCATTTCCTGGTTCGTGAAAAATTAGATCCGTTGCTCTCGCCACTCATACGTTACGTCACGTCACGAGATCAGCGGCCATTTTGATTGCCAAGTGCAGAAATATTTCAAAAGCGTATAACTTTGGTAATAATTATCGTAGAGATGTGAAATAAAGTTTAAATTAAAGATAATTTACTAGGAAATAATCATGCCAAGTTAGAATAATGTACGATTAATACTTTTTGTGTAATTTGATAAAAAGTATCAATTTTAATTAAAATTACATGAAAAATGTAAGAAAAACGCTTATAACTTTTAAACTAAATGAGATAATTAACTAATTCTTGTTGCAAATGATAGATATTATTGTAAACTATAATATAGGTCACTTTCAATCATTTAAACTTTGGCACTCCTTGTTAAATTAACAAAAAACACAAAAAACATTCAACTATTGACATTTTAATGATGTTTCAACAGAAAAAAACAGGATGGGCACCTCTGGTCAACTCATCTCGACCGTGACGATTGTCAACAACGCTTATTATCATTACAACATCACAACCGTACCTACATACCCATTAATTAAATCCTATAATTTTCTCTTTACCGTCGAAATAAAAATTTGAATAATAAAATACTAAAAATACCAAACCGAAAAGAAATGAAGTTCTGTTCTATTTAGCATGCAATAAGTTCATTGCTTAATATAATGACAACAATACCACAACGCACGAACGGCAAGAAAAATACTAAAATATAGAAAATGTTGCAAAAACACGCAATTGTTTCAAGCAACAAGAATAAAAATGTGAAAGTCGCTCCAAACGCATGATAAAAACACTAATTTGTTGAAATTTATTACCTTGCTAAGGGTTGTGTTGCAGACAACTGCCATCTGAGTTTAAATCCATGGATAATCCGCAGTAAATCCAAGCAAACAATGAGAAAAACACAGCACGATAAATCACTGGATGCAAACGTACTTGTTTTTAAAAACAGCAAACACACAATGGCACAATATGGTTGCTCATAATGCGTGCGGTGCGCGCGCGCCGGCGAATGAAACGAAATGGCGTCGGACACCGCATCGCGCGATGCGAGCTACCCAAGTGTGACAAAACACTTGGTACGGAACGCCGGCGCGGTTATTTTTTATTATTTACAGGGGAAATCGACATCTATACACACAACAAACACAAACACGCGAATTCCACATACAAAATGTCTGAATTTATAAATAAAAACAAGATGGCCGACTCACCTGACATCGATACACTTGAATTTGGTTAGAATTGTCACTCCAAAGTTTCGTACTGATGTAAATCAAGTGCCGGACCAGTTTACACAGCATTTCTATTGATAACCTATAAAAATTCGATGGTTTTAGTGATTTTCATACAAAATGGAGGGCGAAGATGAAGCACCAGATGTCCCTGTGAAGTCTACATCATCCCTGAAGACTCCATCAGTGGATAATCGTACTTCAAGCCAAAATAACTCCAGAACATCAAAAATCAGTGAATTATGATCTATCCAAGTCAGATACACGTCCCACATCAGTTTCTTCACCTGAACACACACCAATCGTATCCAAAACCACTGTAACCAGTGAATCATCAGCGCATGTCTCTGAAATACCTGAAGAACCAGTGAATTGTGATGAGGTCATACAGGAACTTGTAGAATCACACAAGGGATCAACCCAGGCGTCTACTACTTCAGAACCCACTCTACAACATGACCCAGAGTGTCCCATGTATGAAGAAGAATCAAAGGTGAAAGGAAAAGCAAAAAGAAAGAAAAACCCGAAGAAAAACAAAATCCACTTCGTATCATGATAAAGACCATGGTGATAGTCCATTGTCCACCAGGAGTAAGAATATGTTGTACCTGTGGTGTGTGTCCATTGGATCTTGTTGAAGAAGAAGAAAAAGGTGAAGATGAAGAAAGTAGAGATGCAAGCTATCAATCTGAATCAACAACGAAATCCAGCAGTGGGGAGAGTAGAGAAGATAAAGACGATGATGATCTATCCAGTGATGTATATGATCTTCAAAGTTACGATACAGAAACGGATTATTCTCGTAGTTATCGAAGTTGGTATGGTGAAGGATGGACTTCTCGTAAACCACGAGGAAAGCGTCAGAAACGTGATTTGGGAATGCGTTATTCTTCTGATGCTGCTGCAATGGAATTTAAAAGGATTTATGTAGTGTTTAACCTAACATAACCTCAATATTTTACTATTTTTATTTTTAGGGTTTTATCCACCTGCACCAATGTCTGATAGGTCTCGTCACGAGGGAAGCTTTATTGATGACTATATGAAGTTTTCATTGAACCTTTTGATGTTTGTTATAAGTCTTTATCCTCAGTGACAAGTTCTTTTGTGAGTTGTGAAGAAACAGGACTTCAGAGGACCATTGTAATAGTCAAACCGGATGCTGTCAAATTTAAAGAAGCTATTTATCGGGTTATCTTCGAATCTGGGTTTCAAATTCTCGGCGTACATAACCAAAATCATATTCTAACCTCAAAAATAATTTTTGATGTTTTTAGTTGCGTGTGTTGCATTTAACACCCGAACAAGTCTCGGAAATTTATTCAAAATACTATGGATCACCATCATTCGTCCATCTTGTTGTATCTGTAAGTGACGCGCCTGTGCTTGCGATTTGTATATCCGCTATGAACGTAATCAAAAGATGGCTGAATCTGATCGGGCCCGATGGTTCCCTGCGCGCTGAATGGTTCTATCCGCTCAGTATGCGTAAATTGTTTGGTTTGGAAGATACTCATGCGGATTGGATACATGGATCGGAGAATCTTAAAGAATCCAACAAAGAAAATCGGTATTTTTACCCGAATGCTATCATTGAACCGATCATAGATGAGTTGGATAAAGTCAAAGACTATTGTGCGCTGACGATGAACAAGACAATTGTTGATGCTTGCACGGAACTGGTGAAGAAACGGCCTGCGGATCCGATTATTTTCTTTGCTGATTATTTACTTGTGCATAATCCATTCCAGCCGAGGTTCCCGCAGTATATTGCTATGACACCGACGTAATTTATACAATTTGTACAATATATTGACAATATTTTATCAAATTGTACAATATATTGACAATATTTTACCAAATTGCACAATATATTGACAATATTTTACCAAATTGTACAATATATTGACAATATTTTGGGTGATTGTTCAATTTATTGATGAAAATCATTGTAAAATGATAAATTTTGAACTTACTGATGCTTCTTCCTAAATATCACCTCCTAATGGTGATTCAAGACGTTTATCCTTTCAAATACACCAATTTCCTGCGATTTTAAGTCATCCACAAGCATTTCACCCAATTCATCAGTATAATTACTGACATAAACGTAATTAACACAATTAAACGCTCAAGAAAGTTGATTTCACATTTTCATAAACAAACAATAACCAAAATCTAACCGTTTTCAATCACTAAAACGTTTTCTTTCGTTTTCGTTCTACACTTTGCGAGTTTCAATGACAAACTAATCCATGGCGATCGCTTCATCGCCCGACCGGACGCGAATCGCAATAAAATTACACAAAAACACATAATCCACGTATTAATTACAATAAATACGTAATATTTATTATAATTACACGCGCCGTTGCTGTTTTACCATAAACTTTCGACGTAAATTTTGTTTTCATACTGCCTGGAATACTCATAACCTTAAATATTTATTCAAATTTTGTCAATTATCAAATCACAGCATTCACTACCGAAATTAACTCGTAAAACATTGGTATTCTGCTTAATCTGCGTAATCTTTGTTCATTATTGAGAATATTCTGTTAGTATAGCTATGGGGAAACACATCTAACGGTTAAAAAGAGTAATATTGAGGTTAAGTTTAAAATTAAGAGCTACTATGATGTTTAGATCTCATTTGCAGGCTTCTCACCCTTCCAAACTTTGGTTTTGCAGTGGGTGTGGGCCTATAACATTCAAAAATGATGTTTTAAAGTAAAATTTAAATTTTTAGCCACTTTTGTGAGACTTACACCATCGCCACACTCTTTGGCATTCTCGACGCTTTGGCACCAATAGCCAGGTCCCCAAGTACAACGATTACTGCCCAGTAATTCACGTTTCTTCAGCGTGTGTGCTGACTTAACACAAACACCGATTTTTTTGCATGTTTTCTCACTGCCAATGGTTGCAACAAAATGGAAAATTTTGTTTCCATAGGTTTCAATCAACGAATGACACTGTGACAAACAAAATGTTAGGTTATGCAACACCGAAGGAAGAAAATAAATTTACCTTTGAGATGTGTTTGTTAGGTAGAGCAACACAAGCCTTCTCAAGAACATGTTCAGCACTGTGAATCAAGTTAGGATTGTCTAAAATCTCATCGACGAGTGTAACTGTAGCCTCGCATACAGCACAAGTATAAACGCTTTCTAAAATGACAGAAAACATAACCTATAATGACAACATAACCTCACATGCGATTATTTTTACCTTTGATAGCTTTAACGATTGGATTATTATCACACAAGACTAACAACGAGCATAATTCACCAGGTCGTGTGCCATCCCTCAACAAATTATAAATCATATCGCCGTACTTTTCAATAAAACCATCACACTGTTGTTCAGTGCTCTTGGGAAGCACACTACAAATAGTCTTGACAGTTTTCTCCATGTCATCTTCGCTTACAGTGCCAATAACTCCTTCTAACGCGTTGATAACCTGTTTACAAATAAAACAAACCGGTCCTGATTTCACCTGCATTTTGACAGGAACAGGAGCAGGAGCTGTCAAAGTGACTTTGTCACAGAGATTGATCATCGTGCAAATCTCCTTCGGTTCCACACTGGATATCAAAAGCTGTAAAACCATATCACCGTATTTGTCAACGAATCCATCACATTCCGTCCGCAGAGTTTTCGGCATTACTTTACACACATTGTGCAAAGCTTGCTCAATCTCATCCTCAGTCGACTTATTCTTCAACATATCTTGCAATTGTGTCATGACAAACTCACACAGAGAACACGATGGTTTATTATTTACTTTAAGTTGACTAATTGGACGTCCATTCGCTGTCTGATCAGGAATTTCATTCGTATCTGTAATTAAACAATGATTGTACAACATAATGACAATATTTTGTGTGTTTGTACAATATAATGACAATATTTTGCGTGTTTGTACAATTTATTGATGTAAAATGATGTAAAAGTTACTTACTAATGCTTCCTTCGTAGATATCACTTCCTAATGGGGATGCAGGACGATTATCTTTGCAAATCTTCAAGTAGACACAAATTTCCTGCGGTTTGAAGTCATCCACGAGCATTTCCACCAGTTCATCGGTATAACCATCGACAAAATCTTGACATTCAGTGCGCAAATTGTCATTTAGATGTGAACACAAAGATTTCAACGCGTCTTTGATCGAATCTTTAGTTTTATGATCTTTTACCATCTCTTCCAGTTTAGTTACAGCGAACAAACACAACGGACAGTTGGGTTTATCCTCCGGAGTACCTTGCATGAACACTTCAATGTCATGATTGTCACTGCTGCTTGGACAAACACGAATCAGCGGACAAATCGTGCTTGGGTCAATCTCCTCGGCCAAGATGGCGACCAATGCTTCACCGTAGGAATTCACAAACTCCACACACGTCTCAGCTACGGAATTCGGCAGATGATCGCACGCCTGATCGACAATCTTCTTCATTTGACCTTCGGTTTTCGGATCTGTAATCGCCTGCTGGACATAATGGAGGAAATATTGACAGAATGTGCATAATTCTTTGTTGTAAACGTTGTTCATGAACGGACTATTAAGTCTCTCAATGGGCAACTGCATTAATTCAGGTGATTGATGCTCGAATTGCAATTGTTTTAGTTTTTCAGATGATTCCGGGGATAACATTGGCGCAATCGGTGCGGAATCGAATTGTTCGAAGCCAGGACCCGGGCAGATGTTGGTGAAATCACACACGACGGTTGAGTTTAACTCTTCGACCAAATATTTATAGATTGTTGGGTAGTATTGATTGACAATACCGAGGCATTCATCTTTGAAGTTACCAGTTTGCTTGCACAAGCCTTGCAGGACTTTTTGGAACTCGTTTTCGGTTGTGTCAGCAATCAGAAGGTCGCGTAAATGATTGACAAGCTGTTTGCACAGTTTACAAGCCGGATCATCACTAAATTCACATGTAAATATTATAAATAAGTTATTAATGATTGTTTGCAAGACTTACCCAATAGAAACAACGCCAACATTGCCCATAGATGTCACTTCAATCTCTGGATGCTTGTGGAAATTAATACTACACTCACCCGAAAGCAGACAAATCTTATCAGTTTTGAATTCTTTCTGTAAATGGCTGTAGATTTCGTTGAAGTAAGTAATGACAATATTACTGCATCCATCTGAGAATGTTCCAGTTCTTGCACAAATCTAATAATTCAAAGTTATTTCAAGTTATTTTTAGGTTAAACATGTGTTTTAGGTTATACCTGTAATAATCTTTGTAAAAATTCATCTCTACTCATATCAGTGAACTTCTTCTCCATGATATCCATCACATGATGACAACCAGTGCAGGTATCAACTTCTGAGTCAGTTTTTTGCTTGGTGACAAGCTCTTGTGAGCTGCTTTCAAGCAATTTGTCATATTTCAGATTATTGCACAAGCCTGCAACCGAGCACACAGTCTGTGGATTCATCTCAGAAGCTAAGGTGTCAATCAAATCAGGAATGAAGTCGTCTGCTAGTTTGCAGCATTCTTTCGAGACGACTTTGATTGGGATCAGGTTGCAGGAACCTTCAAACACTTCTTTGATTTCTTCCTGCGTTTCGTTGCTTTCGAGTTGGTCTCGGGCTTGTTTAACCATGTCAAGACAGGTTTGACAGATTGAATCTCCATCTTCAGGGTAAGTTTTGTGTTGCCATACGGTTTGGATGCAGTGTTTCGTTGCGTGACAACCAGCAGCAGCACTTTAATGATAAAAGTTTATTTTTAGGATAACTTTGGAAATAAGAGAGATAAAAGTTGATTGTTGTACTAAAATGTTTATCTGGTGAAAAACTATAAGATAAACTAAATAAATATATTGAAATTGTTGATATTTGCCAAGATTTTAACGAAAAACATAAAAATTGTCGATAAAATGACAGTATATTGGCGCACAGCAACATTTTAATGGAAACAAAGTTTATTTTTAGGATATCTTTTAAACTAAAGAAGATAGAGAGTTGATTATTTTATAAAAATGTTGATCTAGTCAAGGACTACAAGATGATCTAAAGAAATATCTTGAAATAATAAAAATTCAACAACATTTTAACAAAAACACAAAACCTGTCAATAAAATGACAATATATTGACGCATAAGGAAACTATAAGCCATTCAAGGTCTTAATAGAAATACTGTCAATGGTATCATGTGAAAACAAAGAATCATCACATATTTATCACGCTTGTTATCAGTGAAACCAAGCAAAGGTCGCGAAATTGACCGCGCGCAATTAAAACCGAATTTATTTATTTCGACAACGTAAATATGTTTATATCAACTTACGTTAAATTGGAGCACCAATACGACGGCCCCCAAGTACATTCCTTGCTGCCAAGAAGTGAAACATGCCGTTGAGATGCATATGGTTCAGGCGGTAGTGCTACGACTGCAAAAATACAATAATTATTTACTCTGAAGGCGACATTTGCGAGTTGAACGACTAATATGACTCTACATGACTAATGCAAAGACAAATTAACTTATAAAGTAAATAATTTAATGATTGTGCGCGCTGTGTGCGTGATTCATGCGATTGTAAATCGAATCCTGCTGGAAACATTAAATTTTTCAATTCTCCGCATGGGATTAACACAGTTTCATGCTTTAAATGCTTAAAATACATTCGGGACAATGTGTAAGTTAATTATAAACATGCATGTGATGAACATGCAGGTTTTCAGGCAACAAACCGAACAAAACAACAATTTTTGTTCAAATCCTGCGCACGTTGATCAATCAATTTCTCCAGTGCAAAATGATGTAATTTGTTATGCTTGTGATGTGTTTGCACTTACCGCAGACGAATGCTGCGACGCAGAAGACGAAAAACGTCTTCAGCATGTTGTTGAAGGAAACAAAGAACGTTCGGACGCACTTATAATCTTCGGACGTGATGTGAAAAGAAATTATCACTCGTATATTGATATGACATGCACGGGTCAGACACAAACACGTCAGAATGTGACGATTTGCTGCGATCGAATGCGGGTGTTGCGAGCAAACAGAGAGAATGTTTTGTTTAGATTCGACTGACCGCGCCGCAGCCGGACGCTCGAAGGTTGATCGCAGTGAATCGAAGTCCTGTAGTGGGGCGAGAGTATTAAACATGTGTATTGGGTGACAGTACAGTACTAATACTGCAGGAAAAGTGTATATTGGGTTGCCTATATATTTTTTCAAACAGGATGCGACACTAGCGCTGTACCGGTGTAAGCTTGCTCAGTTGAGTAAAAACAAGCGTCGTGATTAGTTGTGAACATTTTGCAGTCGTGTAAACCGCGTGGAGTTATAGTTGTAAGTTATATTTAAAACGGAATTCGTATAAATTTGCGCATTGTGCGATGCAGCACTGCGATTGTTTCGGTCAATTTGATTAGGTATATGTTTCGGTAGCGGTTTAAAACTAATCAGGGAAATATAGCGTCATGTAAAACTAACATGGCGGACAAACGGTTTCAAAGCAAAACAAATGCGCCAAGTATAAAAAATTCTTATATTAAAAGAAGAATAAATATCTATCTTTTCATAAACACGTACGCTTTAAATCATATAATATTCACGTTACTTTGTACAATTTAACACTTAGTACATACTCGCGCGTTCATCTCACGCATCATACATCATGTGCTGCAGGAAATCGTTCACATCCACATTCTGCAATAATTCGTGATCAATTTTCATCTTCTTACTCGCATCCGAGACATCCACGACTTCTTTATCATCAGCTTTTCGTTTCTTGTCTCTAAACAATACCCACACAATAAATACATGAAAAGTTAGGTTATATAGCTAATGCGCACACTCACCCGTTAGCAAAATGGCCGCCGATGTTTGAACTCTCCTGTTCTTTCTTCACCAACACCGAAGATGACGATGATGATGATGCCAGTGATGATTTCTGCTTTGCTTCAATCACAACATGATTCAGCACTTTTACCTTACTCTTATTCACCTTGGGTTTCCTCGACGGAGTCTGATGGTAATCAAACAGACACTCGAACGGCGACACATGCATCACTTTTCTATTTCAGCATCAGTTGCATCATCGTAGGTCGTCATGCAATACGCCTTGGTCAACCGGAGGTTATCATCCTTTGCATCACGAATTCCAGCAGCATTACTTTGTACATTTGATCCATCGAAGAAAATCGGGTCGGAAAACACGCGTATATCAAAAAAAATCAAATCTTCTTCGGGTGTGTTAATCGTAGTCACACATCTCCCAATATTTTCTTTCTTCGGGATAAAAACACTTGTTTCATACTCAACTTTACTTGCAACTTTAGTTGCTTCTTCTTCTTCTTGTTTTTCGATAGTTTCACGTTCTTTTAGGTTGATTCCTCGTTCTTTCAACCCAGCAATCAAATTCTTCGCATCTTCACCGGTAGAACCTTTTAAAACCTTCACATTTTCATCGGGTTTGATATTTATCTCTGGTTTTGGCTCACTTGGTGGCTTCTCAACCTTTTTCTTCGGTGTTTTGGTGGTTTTTACCGGTTCAACTTTACGTTTCATCGCTAGTTTGGTCAATTTCTCCAACACAGGCACCAACTTCTTCTTTTTCGCAGTCTTGGGATCCTCAACCACTAAAATCTCATCATGTACCGGACTATTAACTGCATTATCTTTAACAGATTCCAATTTTTCCGGTTCTGCATTATTTTTAACAGATTCTGTTTTCTCCGGTTCTGTATTTGAATTAGGACATAACAACTCAGTCTCGACGATCTCAAATGGTCTAATCACAAGTTCCTCATCAGAAGACGTCATCAACAAGTCTTCTTCTTTCAATTTCACTGTATTGGACCTTAAAACCCTCGCTGTGGTCGCCGGTTTCTTTTTCTTAGCTGCAACCTTCCTCCCTTTCTCCCCACCATCATTTTTAATACCTTCCAGAACCCTCATACGTTTCCGGTCCAAATCGCTTAAAATCTTAGTTTTATTATCATCCAACTTGGATGGTTTATCATTTAACACCGGGATAAACTCAACGGAACTCACGATATCATTTATATCTTTATTTTTCACCTCATCACTGGTATTCAACGACCTGGACCTCAACGGATACCTGGAAGGCTGTTTTTCCACAACAGTCGCATTTGTTGGCTCATCAAGATCCGATTCCGAGTCATCAGAAGAAGACGAAGAACTACTACTGCTTGTACTGGTATTACTAGACTCATCAGAAGTACTTTTATCCTTATCCTTCATAAGATTTAAATTTTTCCTGCCGATAACATTCACAGTTTCCAACCTGTTGCACTCCTGAATCAATTTTTCCAAAGATTTATTCGCTTCGGTGTCTGACGGTTGATAATACGACGAAGATGTGGAATAATCCGTTGGGCGATTATAAGATGGCGACCCATTTCCATCAATAAACGGAGTGATTGCAAAACTTGGCGTTAGTATTAATTTCGGTGTTTGGATGCTGGCGATATCCATTCCTGCGATTTGTTCGTTGAAAACTCGTGTTAATGGCGTCTCGACTGTTTCCGCCGGGTTGTAAACACAGGGTGTTTTCGGATAGTCTTTCGCGGGTGTTTCTAACAACGGTGTGATGTTCCTGACCGTTGATGATGATGGTAGTATGCATGGTACGACCATAGGTTCCAGTTTATTCACCTCAGGTGTTGTGGTATTCAATACTTCCTGTTTCAGTACAACTTCCAAGTCGAGAGAGCGTTTGCTTCCGTTTAATTTCGATGGAGATAAAACCAGTTTATCTGAATCAATGATAATATCCTGTTTTGTTTCGGTTTCTTTTGGTATTGATAACTTGACTTCTTTTTTTGTATCCGTATTGCATTTCCGGTTGAATCTCGGCGGTTTATTTATATTTATCAAATTGACATTCTCTACTTTTGTTACGTCGATGATTTGTTTAGTTTTCTGGTTTTTTAGTGATACTGGAGTGGTTTCATTGGTTTTTTCTGCTTTGTTAGTATTTTTCGGACTTGCATTGAGTGTTTTTATCTTGGATTTCGGAGTTTTTCGCTGTGGAGTCTTTTTCTTCACTGTGGACTTTGCTTTTGTTGCTTTTTCCGGTTTAGTTTTATTCGTGACATCAATATTTTCATCCGGGGACTTGTCCATGTTCAAACCAGCTCGGAATTTCATATCCCATGGTTCTTTTGGTTTATCTTTTGCTTTACTTTGTGATTTTTTACCTTTACCCGCTGAATTTTCATCATTCGTAAACAGGGACTTTGATGGTTTCTGTTTACTTGAATTAGTATAAGTTTTCGTCGGTGAACTTGAAGCTTGCTTGATTTTCAGCACTTCTTTCGCAGGCGTTTGAAATTTAAAGTCAAGCGCACGTATATGTGACCTACCACCACTTTTCGGCGTCTGTGCAGGCGCTGGCAACTTGGTAATCTGTGTCTGATCCGGTGTTTTCGTATCAATCACTGTTTCAATATTCACAACCTCTGTAGCCTGTTCAATTTGTAACAATTGTTGATTTTCTGCTTGGATTAATGTAAAAGTTTCTTCTTGTTGATCATCACATTTGTATAAAGTGATAAAATCCGCAATAGTTTCGGTTCTGTTTTGAACAGGAAGCATTTTGATGCGTTCTTCAGGTACTTGCACACCTTGCTCCACCATAACTAAAAAAATAAACATTTAACATTCAAAATCTTTAAATTTTTATGTTTTTAAACATTTACGTACCTCTTTCATCGTGTTTTTCATTACAAACATAAACAGGCATCGATAATATATCCTGTTCAGTTAAATTATACACAACCGATGAACAGGCAGTGTTATTAACACATCCATTCCCATCGATGATGATAATATCTTTATTGGTTATATTTGTTGTGGATGTTGGTGCTTCTGGTGGTTTTTCCTTCTCCGTGAAACTCGCACCCAGAATTTCCTGTAGAAGACTTTCAAATGCTGGTTCCCTCTGTGTTTCTGATACTTCTGCAATCGCAGACTCAACTTCCCTTGAAATAACAGATTCCTTCACTTCTGGGCATCGTACTTCATTGATTGTATGCGCGATTTTCTCTTGTAATTCCTCCCTAGCAAGTAAAGTCTCCTTGAAAACCTCAACAACCTCCTGAATGGGTGGGTTTTCATTATCTCCAGAACTACTTTGTTCTGTTTCTGTTTCATCTACTTGTATTGCATTGCCAGGTAATGTTTTGAGTGGTGTTGCAGTGACGCTCTAAAGTAGAACTGAAGTCTATGGAAGTATTTGCTTCATTTTCTGATGGTACAGGACTAATTGAACTTGTGATGCTTTTACTTTTTACCATGTGAGACATGATTGAGTAGATAGAGGAGTTGTTGAGGTAGTTCTTGATAATGAAATGATTTGTTTTCAAAATATTCAGTGTCCTCCAGGCGCGGTTGAACAATGGTGTAGATTTCACTGTATTGTTGCAGGATGTCTTCCAATCCCATTCCATAGTATCTCGTGGAGATTTTCTGTCTCTTCTGTCTGTATTTCTCAAAATGTGGGCATTGTTTATAGAAGATATTGTAGGCTAGTTTCTGGTTTTCTTTCTTTAAGTATCCTATGAAAATATATTAGGAAATTTATTAACAAAAAATTTCTTCCCGCCAATCCACCCTTTGGATAACATTGGACAACCCTTAGAATATTTATGCATTTACCTAGAACAAGACGCGCGATCTGCTGCTGCGATATGTCTTCCATTTTGTTGGTGATTGCACTTTGTTGGGCTTTGTTTCAAAATACTAAATCTGCAGCACTTGAATTCGTTTGTTTTCACCTTTTGATAATTTCCATCGCGCACCAAACAATCCCATTAGAAAACCGTTGATAGCAGATTGAGCTGAAGAGAAGATAGGTTAGTTAGTGTATTTTCAGTTGGTTAGGCCACTTGGATTTCATTTCGGACTTGTACCAAAGAGGGAACTAGCAACTTGCTGTTTACGGTTAGTTTCGTGTGGTTTTTGTGCTTAAATGCGTGAGGATTGAGAATGGCGTGGTTCTTCTTGTCTAGGCGAAGAAAAGACGGTTAGACAAGAGCAGGTGTTGATTATAAATGGGGGATGACTGAATAACGACTTTAACGAATGCAAGAAAACCGTTAGTTGCTTAAACCGTTAAATTTTAGTTAAATATGATTTATACGAAAGAATTTGGGATATTTTTGCGTGTTTCTTGAAGATTTGAATCAAATTAAACCCAAAAAACGGTGTAAAACACTTTTTTCATCGTTTCTTTAACAAAAGACACAAATTTTCTCAATTTTCAAGTTATGAATACGTTGATTTCAATATTTCGTTCTTTTCACTTTATTAATTACAAAAATACGTAAATTTTACTAGAAAACTTCGAATTTTTAAAGATTTCGTCTGTTTTATTGATAAAATAGTCTTGGCATCACTTAAATATTTTTATTTGTGTTTAATTGTATAAATTTAATGAAAAATAGCAAATATTTGATGACTTTTTGGAAAAATATAATTTTTACAAAGGATTTCGGGATATTTTTACTAATTTTTGATAATTTCGACAAAATTTCGGTTAAAAAACATTAAAACCATGTAAATTTTATATATATATTCTTTTTAATGAGTTAAACACATCAGTCTTAAAGATATATTAATATGTTTTATGTACAATACGTAATAATATTCGTTTTATATGTATTTCTGTACTTTCCAAGCCATTTTTAAACTCTTTTCATCTAATAAAAACACAAACCAACGAAAAAAATAATCATTTCCAAGTCTAAATTGTTATTATCATTACTTAATCGCTACGTTTTGCTCCCAAATACTATCGTCGTAATACCGTGGATCGCATATCCTCATCGCAGCCCTTTTGTAAGAGTAATAATAAAATGGCGACGCTAAAATGAATATTATTTCGATTAAAATTAGTAAATATATAATTTTATGTTATGCTATATTACCTAATCGATGAATGACAAACATAATCGTGAATCCAACCGACCAAATGCGCACGTCTTCTTGTGATTGCACAATCAGCAACCAAATGTATTGTATTGTCGTGAGTATGAAGTAAAGCACGCAGATACAAATTGCTACACGGAAACGATCATAAAGCAATTCAATTAAACCAGCCTGAAACAAAAAAAGCATTTTTTATTAGTTTTATGATAACAAATAGTTTTAAAAGTACGAATTTATCATAAAATATTAAAATAACGTAAAAAATCAATTATTTTTGAGTATTTTTCATAAAAAAGTTAAGTTTTCTATGTTTTCCTCATAAAAAAATGAAGTTTTCAACAATTTTCTCATAGAAAATTAAGTATTCAACATTTTTCTTATAAAAAATAAGATTTTCAACCTTTTTTAAATAAAAAATTAAGTTTTAAACGTTTTTCTCTTTAAAAAAATGAAAATTTCAAAGTTTTTCTTAATTTTTATCAAAACTACTTACCTGATATGCCTAAAAATATGCACAAATATGATAAAAACCTTGTCTTGACAATAACAAACACAATAACAAAAGAATTATTCAATTTCTCCAATATTTTAGAAGTTATACGTGTTCAAACATACATTTTACCAATTAATTAATAACTATCAATTATTTTCACTTACTTGAAACACATACGTCGAGAAAAACGTCAGTAACAGCAACGCCAACGCAAAGATAAGACTTAAATCTTGAGCACTACAAAGAAATGCATGATAACACCGTAAATGATTAATTTATCAATAAACTCACATAAATAATATGAGTATAATCGCATGCTGACGTTTGTAACACAGCGAGAATGTATTGAGTGCGATGTCCAGGCAGAAGAGCAGTGTTTGTATCGTGAATATCACGCGGAACTTCTGCAGGCTTATCTTCATAATTTCACTGATGTACGCAGTGTACACTACTAGCTCATTTTCGATGCGAAATGCGAATTATTTGACATTGTTATATACTCCCTATGATGTTGTCGTAAATTTCTATTGATTGTGACACTCTGACATTTAGTTCAGCACTGTTCGGCGAGGGAAATTCGTCCACTTGTTGTTGGGAAATGCTCGCGCTGGCTGCGCAAGCGAATTATTGAATTTTCGGTATTGTGGGGGCGAGAAACGAGTAGGGACGAGTTTGTAACGAGAGCACACGATGCATATACATAGGATTAAAGATAGGGTTGGTTTTTAATTAGAAAATTTTGAATTTATTACGAAAAATTTGTTTTGATGCAGAAATATCGAGAAAAACAGTGTTTTTGGATGATTTTGATTGTTATTCATTAAAAATGCATAAAAAGTTTTAAAATTCTAAGATTTTGACAGTTTTATTGAGAAAAATGCTAAATTGTTGCCAAATATTGCCAAAAACAGCAAATTTTTGATATTTTTGAGTTTATTTCTTTGAAAAAATCATAAAAACTTGAAACACTGCAAAATTGCGACCATTTTATTGATAAATAACTTTAACACAACTTAAAAATGCTTAATTCTGCAGAAATATGATCAAAAACAGCGAAAATTTCATGTTTTTCACTTTATTTCTTAGAAAAATCATAAAAACTACAAAAAAACTTCAAATACGTTAAGATTTCGACTATTTTATTGATAAAATAGACTTAGCATCACTTAAATATCATACTCTTCACTTATCTGCAAAACTTCAATATAGAATACATTTATCTATAAACATACAATTGTCATTTTTCATATTATCGCAACACGTCAGGTATTTATTGCAATAAATTCTTTATAAAAAATCAATATTCTCATCAGATTCTAGTGGTTGACTAGTTATCTAAACAGGGAGAGTTTCCGCGCAGGCATCTTACCCTCCGAGTTTAGGAAAGCCGCCTGTATCACCTCCAGTGATGGCATGTGGCGCAAATCTCCTCGGGCTGCCACCGACGGTTGTGAACTGAGTAAACGTCGTGCCACGGCTATTATATTATCACGCGTGATTTTTTCTATAAAAACAATGCAAAAACACAAGAAAATTAAATTTTCATAGATAAAAATTAAATTTTTACGTACCTATTGCTTCGATATAATAACTCGGCCGTTTTCGATGTCCGGTTGCCAAAACTTGTCGCGCAATATCCTCGAAAACAACCGGCCGTGATTCCAGATTCATTAACAACATTGATTGAAGTTGTGTTTTAGCTCTCTGAGGAGAAATAAATAGAAATAGAAATAAATATCGGAAAATTATAGAAAATTTAAAATATTTTACCCGTAATTCAGTTTCTGTGATATTATTAGTCATAAAAACCATTTCTTTGACAATTACTTCAACCATATCACGTAATTGCGCGGGTGGTGCACTTGCATGAATACAAAACAGTCCAGAATCTGCGTAGGCGTGATTGTATGCTGTTGCACTATACATCCAATGATATCTACAACAAAAAAATCAAATTTTCACCATTTTCACGTTTTAAATAATTTTTAAAGCAATAAAAAGTAGCCTATGTTCTATTCTAATATATAAACTATAATATTACAAAGTTTTAGAATATTCTATCGAATAGTTTTGACGTGAAAGAGTAACAAACATAAAATATAACCTTACTTGTTAAGTACGTTTGTGTATAACCTAGTATACATCCCTTTTCCAGGCCCGCCAGCACTAAACGACCCGCCACCGCCCATCATCATGTTCAACACACACATGGCAATGAAATCATCATCCTGATGCGAACAACCCTCCAGACCAATCATCACATGGCACAAAACAGGTAGGCCCGCGGAAGCAAACTGCGGAATTTCACATTCTTCCTAAAACATCAAAAATCAACATTTTACTTTAAAACTAAACAAAAACTAAAAATAATTACTTGTACTAATCCCCCTGTATACTGTGAAACACTTTCATCAATATTAACCGACTTGTGCGGTTGATACAGCGCTGGTTTCGCTTCCCAAACGGATTTCTCATCAACAAAGAATTTCTGCGCTGAATCCACCAATCGTTGGTGATCCACACCAACACCAGCAATAACCATGCGCTTCGGTACAATATGTTGTCGCAAATAATTGAATATCATCGGTCTGTCAATTTTATTAATATTATTCGATGGGCATAGTTTCGGAAGACCCAGTGTGTTGTCTCTGTAAGCAGCTGCATGGATCATATCCATGAGCAGTGTTTCTTGTTCCGGACGCATTGCCAATGTTTCCAATTCAAAATATATCGCTTGTTTGGCATATTCAAGTTCTTCTTGAGTGATTCTCGGACGTAGGACAACTTCGCCGAGGAGTTTCATCACGTCGTTCAAACCGGTGTTGTATGCGGACGCCGCGTAGATCATTGTATCTCTGGATGCTTGACTGTCACAGATACCACCATGTTGTTCGAGATTGTTCATCATTGCATCTTTGTCTGGATATTTACTCGTAGACTAAAATTTTAAGCAAAACATCAGTTATTTTTGTTTTTTTGTAGAAGAAATCTTGTTTTACTTACATGAAACGCTAACTTTTCAAGAAAATGTGATATTCCACTTGGATATGCAACTTCATACCGTGATCCAGAGTCTATCACAACCCCAACAGTGCAGAATTCACCAAAACGATTCTCTGATGCAATACGCAGGCCATTTGCTAGTGTGGTGATTTGTGTCTTTTGTGAGGACTCTTTGTAGTCGGAATAGACGGGTTCTGGTAGTCCAGGAACTGGTTGGTTCATCGGAGGCATGTCTGTGACGCGTCCACGGAAGGACAAGTCGCTGTCCGTTTCCGTGGAGGCTGTCTCCGAGAAGAGTCTCGAAGAAATGTAGTGGCATAACCTAGAAATTCACTAGGAGTGAGTTTAAAATTGATTTTTGTAGGGGTTTTGGGGTTTAATTGGTGAGATTTACTTGCCTTGCGGTTCGCGGCGTACCTTGGTGGCACAATCGAAGCATTGTTTACTAAATTCTTTGGTTTGTTATTACAATTTTAAAGAGAACTAAATTATAATTTTGACAGTACTAAATCCTAATCAACAGCGGTAACCATGTTTTTCTTTTTGTTTCACTGCGCATGTGGAATCCATTCAGGAGTGGGGGTTGGGAAAGTTTTTTAAAAGTTATTGTCAGTTTTGAAATAAACATTTATCTGACATATTTTGCTGCTTTACGTAGAAAAATGGTCAATTTTGTAATCGCTGGTAAACCCGATTGTAAAAATTTCGTCCAGGTTTTGAATGTTGCGTGTTATTTACAAAAAAATCTCCCGTCTTTCGAATATACAAAAATCGAGCTTACCGATTACGAATGGGCTGATTATTTAATAAAAACCAATCGGGAGCATCAATGGCATCATGGAGAGTCTCCTCTTATTTACAAAGAACTCTACACTTACGGTTCAAAAAAACCTAACCTCATCGGAGGCATCAGCGAGTTTTGGGAGTATTGTTATGACTATTACGGTATAGAGGTCGCCCTAACTGAGGATGAAGTCGAAGCTTTACGCAGTCATAACCTCGAAAGTTTCAATAAAAACATCAGTGGTACAATAAAAAACAAACTAAAAATAATGATTTACGGAGCTACGAACAACATGACATCACTTCTACTCCCAGAATTCATGAAAATCGAAGAATGTCGATATCCGGAAGAGTTACAGTTCTTTCTATACGATGAAAAGCTAGAAACAAGCAACCAAACGTACTTTGACAACTTCAACGAGGAATTCACGGATTTATATGGAACCAAAGCGATTTACTGCGATAGTTTAGCAGTGGGGTTGAAGGATTGCGATTATCTCATCATGCTTGATGACACGTCAGCGTAAAACTAACCTAAAAACTTTCCATAACATAATTCAACATTTTTACAGGTTAGAAATCTTTGATGATTCAGAAGAGTTGCAGAATTACTTTCTACAAATATGTTTCCTCTGTGAAGAGATAAATTCATGCGCAAATCGCAATATGAAAATCATCTTTGCCAACAATGGTTACTCATGTTTAATCGCTACAATCGTAGCGAGAAAAGTGCGTATCCCCCACTCCCAAATCGTGGTTGTAAGCAGTGACCGCGGATTAGGTTATCTCGGTGAAATGTCACGACGTTTAAACATTGACACACGCAAAATGAGCGCGCCACCTGTCTGGGGCTCTTTAGGATTCAATGATTTTGTTGATGCTGGTAGTACCCTTCTAAAATGCAAAGTATACAAACCCAACGCACGCGCAGTACACGCCCACAAAGATTCCACCCTAACGCATGGCACAATCCGCTGCGAATTGAGATATATTAATTATTTGAGTGATAATATAAAAGATTTGGCAGAAACCGTTAACAGACGTCGAGAAATTGTGAGGCACACTCTACAAAGACCTGCAATGCTTGCAAAATTAGAAGCTTTGTTGTCCCTGTTAAAAATATGGTTGGATTGTTCAACCATAAAAGACCCCATTATTAGTTTAGGGATAATGTCTGATGGTTCTTTTAATATCCCGCCGAAAATTGTGTTTTCCCAACCTGCGATAAGGTTCAAAAACGGGTGGATCCCTTACTCTAGTTATCCTGTTCCAAAACATATTCTGGAAAGTGTCATGGCCGCCGGAATAGACGCGGAAACTCATTATGAAAGTTATATAGGTGGTAAAACCTTCAAAGAAGTGCAGAAGAGGTTAACATATGAATATTTTAACGATGAAATGCCAAAGTAAGACTTTTAACCTCAAATAACCTAATTTAACCTGACATAACCTCATTTTTCCGCTTTATAAATTTCTAGCTTCCCTGATTTAAGTATTGAAGATTTTGGACAGTATTTAGAAAGTATAACAACACTATAATTTCTGCTCGGAATAATAATGGTGGTCTAATATTTATTTATTTACTCATTTCTTAATCTAATATAAATAAATTCATTAATATGATGTTTATATACACGTATTATTTTGTTTTTCTTGGTTTGTTTGTTATCACATACATTGAAAAATATTTTGCGGTATCGAATATTGCACAAAAGTGCCCGTTTATTTCCGGTTTGCCGGTTATATTGTCAACTACGTTTCAATCTTTATTTTTTTACGACTTTCGGTTGTGTTTTTTACTACGAGGTGCACGAATACTACGGTAACATAACCTCTAAACGTTATGCAACACAATAGACATGATTTAGTTTTGTAGGTTATGTTTTTAGTGCAACATTGCTTACATTTTTCGCTAAAACATAGAAACTAATATTCAGTATACACGATTTTTTTGTAGTTTTTCATGTTTTGCTTAACATTAATAGCAATAAAGCAGGTTTTAATCACATGTGACGCAAAACAAATAGTTTTTACAATAATTAATCACAAATTAATAGCAAAATAATAAATAATAAAATCTCTTTGTAGGTAATTTCTTTATCATTAGATAAATATTCTTAAACTTTTTTTTTAGTATATTACTCTATTTGTTCTAATATTTCTCTTCATTTCCGTTTAAACTTGTTCATCTCAGGTATATAGGTTAGGTATTTACACAATTTCTACTGTACAGTGAATCTGGGTGGAGGTGTTTTGGTTAAATGCGTTTTTTGCTATTTAAATGGCACCGATATAGACACGTATTACACACTCAAATCTAAAATGTCCACTCATTAGCCGCCATTTTGTACCGGTTTACTTCTCGTTATGTCGCAGCTGCGCATAACAACTCTGACACACCCTAACTGGCTTGAGTATGCGCAGACGAGAGATTTCACTCTCGAAACGCGAGCATTTACTGCAAAACACCTGCCCACAATTGCGACAGTGATGTTTACGCTCGTAGATTGTGAATTTGACGTTGCAATTGGCGCAGTAATCGGCTCCTTCGTCCTTTAGCCAATGATCGGCTGCTCGGCCGGGGATATCACACACGCTCCATGAAAACACTCGTCCGCGGGCGTCGCCAACGTAAACTGTACGATGCTCCCTAAATTTACGCCAAAAGTTTTAATTATTTCCTTAATTTAAGTAAATTTACTTACTTTGAGACAGCTAGGGCTGTAATGGACGCTGGCTCAGCATTATCCTTCCTGTCATAAGCTGTGTGCATTGTTAATTTACTCCTGAAGACCAATTGTCTCTGCCATTTAAATCCTATAAAAAAAATTTAAGTCAACATGACTTAATTTAAGTCTTTTATAAAAATATTACCTGGTCTTAGTGAATTTAAAGGATTTATCTTCTTCTTTGCATCGGGTACCATCACAAAAGAGTCTGTGAGACTTGTATCCGATTTACTGGTTCTCATATTGATGGAATCATCAACCTCCAGGCTATTATTGTCTGCACTGGCCCCACCTTCACTTTTTCTAAACCCTCCATGAACCCTTGACCTCCTCCTTCTTACAGGAGCAGTGGGTACCTTCACTTCTTCAGAATCACTACAAGTTTCCTTCTCGTCTTCTTGTTCAGACCTCCATTCTTTGGGACTACCCTCTTTTAGTATCTTAGCAGCACTATCCTCGGATAAACTACTCTCTGACCCGCTTTTCATCAGTGATATAGACGACCCTGTCCCTGACCCTGAATCATTGGATATGTTAATCTGTTTTACAAGTCTGCTATGCAAAAGCAAGAGGTTTTTAGTGGGTGTTAGACTTTCTTCACGTTTTAGATGCAAAGCAAGGTCTTTTTCGTCCATGGGGACTTGCACATAGTCAATTGACCACATCCGGGTCACACCATCAGTTGACCCTGTCATGATTACATTCGACGCGTCCCATTCGTGTGTCTGGGAAAATGCCACACATAGAATCTGTTGCATTCGATCAGCTCGACCCACACAAGTATTCACACTTGCTAATTCATCACCGTTGATACTCCAGACATGTAACCAAGTAGCTGCACAGGTAGCAATATCCCCTGTAAGGTCATTTACTGCCACAGCCGCCACAGGTCCTGCATGACCTCGGAGTTGTCTTACAAACATCCCACGACTCAAGTCCCATACAATGGCGGTACCATCCCGAGACCCGGAAACTATTACATTGTATGCAGGGCTTGCAGCTAAGCAGGTCACAGCATCCGTGTGGGCATACAGACTGAATCTTATCTTGAGTTGTTTTTTACGGACATCATACTCCCAGATGGTGATTACCGAACTGGTCCCTGCTGTGACTATCAGTTTTGATGAAGGGCAGACACAGGCAACAATCTCCCCCGAATTTTGAACGACTGTCTCGCTTACAAAAACTGCTTTGTCGCTATCATAGTTGCCTATGCGGAGGGAATGATCAGCGAAACCCCAGGCGACGTATTTGTTGTAATTCCGGGGCATGAGGATTTTGTTTTGTTCCACTGCCAGGACACATTTATCCACGTGGAGGATTTGTCCCACAGGACTTTTACTTCTAAACACAGGAGCAGTGGGTACCTTCACTTCTTCAGAATCACTACAAGTTTCCTTCTCGTCTTCTTGTTCAGACCTCCATTCTTTGGGACTACCCTCTTTTAGTATCTTAGCAGCACTATCCTCGGATAAACTACTCTCTGACCCGCTTTTCATCAGTGATATAGACGACCCTGTCCCTGACCCTGAATCATTGGATATGTTAATCTGTTTTACAAGTCTGCTATGCAAAGCAAGTGGTTTTTTAGTGGGTGTTAGACTTTCTTCACGTTTTAGATGCAAAGCTAGGTCCTTTTCGTCCATGGGGACTTGCACATAGTCAATTGACCACATCCGGGTCACACCATCCGTTGACCCTGTCATGATTACATTCGACGCGTCCCATTCATGTGTCTGGGAAAATGCAACACATAGAATCTGTTGCATTCGATCAGCTCGACCCACACAGGTGTTCACACTTGCTAATTCATCACCGTTGATACTCCAGACATGTAACCAAGTAGCTGCGCAGGTTGCAATATCACCTGTAAGGTCATTTACTGCTACAGCAGCCACAGGTCCTGCATGACCTCGCAGTTGTCTTACAAACATCCCACGACTCAAGTCCCATACAATGGCGGTACCATCCCGGGAACCGGAAACTATTACATTGTATGCTGGGCTAGCAGCTAGACAGGTCACGGCATCCGTATGGGCATACAGACTGAATCTTATCTTGAGTTGTTTTTTACGCACATCATACTCCCAGATGGTGATTACCGAACTGGTCCCTGCTGTGACTATCAGTTTTGATGATGGACAAACACAGGCAACAATTTCCCCGGAATTTTGCACGACTGTCTCGCTTACAAAAACTGCTTTGTCGCTGTCATAGTTGCCTATGCGGAGGGAATGATCAGCGAATCCCCAGGCGACGTATTTGTTGTAATTCGGGGGCATGAGGATTTTGTTTTGTTCCACTGCCAGGACACATTTATCCACGTGGAGGATTTGTCCCACAGGACTTTTTACTTCTAAACAAACAAAAATATTAATATTTTGTTGTATTTTTGCGGTTATAAATACCTTTTATAGGTTGTAAAGATGGCCGTAGGTTGTCTAAATGATGAAAGAATAATCTTTCCGGTTGGGGTAAAGCAAATGCCTGAACCAGAGCACCTGTATCAATAACAGATGTCCGGTTGTTATTCCCACCCATCTTTTTACACGGATGTGGTTTTTTAAACAATTGTTTCGGTATCTGGCCGAAATTATTGATAAAACCAATTGTTGCGTTCTTCTTCAACGGATCATCAATACTAAAACAAAAAAATTGATCAACAATTGATATAAAACTATTTTAAAATATGTTTTACTTGTAAATATCAACGTTTCCTTCATAGAACAAATGATGAAAGACATTGACACTGTCCACAGCAGGTTGTCCATTCTGTTTGTACCCAAAAATCAAATCAATCCAATGATGTAGATTCTGTGAAACAAAGTCACATTCCAGCGCCATTCTGTGTACCCGAATAAACTCTCTAGGATCTTGTTTTGCCCATGGTGGTAAAACAGTGTCACCCAAAAAGACACCACTTTGTTTGGATCCGAGGTCAAAGTGGTTGGAATTGACTAAAAATTCAGGCAAATAGAAGAATTCCGGCGGTTACGTATTGCTACACGGATGTGGTTTTTTAAACAATTGTTTCGGTATCTGGCCGAAATTATTGATAAAACCAATTGTTGCGTTCTTCTTCAACGGATCATCAATACTAAAACATAAAAATTTGATTAGGAAACCATAAAACATAATTTTTAATCGTTTTACTTGTAAATATCAACGTTTCCTTCATAAAACAAATGATGAAAGACATTGACACTGTCCACAGCAGGCTGTCCATTCTGTTTGTACCCAAAAATCAAATCAATCCAATGATGTAGATTCTGTGAAACAAAGTCACACTCCAGCGCCATTCTGTGTACCCGAATAAACTCTCTGGGATCTTGTTTTGCCCATGGTGGTAAAACAGTATCTCCCAAAAAGACACCACTTTGTTTGGACCCGAGGTCAAAGTGGTTGGAATTGACTAAAAATTCAGGCAAATAGAAGAATTCCGGGATGAGTTCTTTTACGTCCGCCATATTGTGACGACTTGCGGAATTCCAAGCTTCTTTCACACTGTGGAACATTCGATCAGCCAAATCAAAATGGCCGCCTTGTAGACGTAGAAAATGTTGGGTGAATGGTTCCATTCGTACAAGATACGAACAGACAATCATGGCGCTTGAATAATGCGTGCCGTAGTGATAAGGAGGTGTTTCCCCATGTGGGTCATCCCATTCTTTGAACCTCTTTCGGAATTGATCTAATCTGTCATGGCTCTGTGCCCCCATGGGTTTGGTAAAGTCTCTGAATGTGGAGGGATCAGATAGATCTAATTCTTCAGCGTCGTAGTCTGCCAAGATCCATGGAAACACAGGATATTGCATTAGGTCATTATAGGACCTTCCTGCGAGAGTGTTGAGATGCATAAGATACTGAAAATTAGAGATCTCTCCTCGGACCCATCTTTGGGTAACACTAGTTTCTCCAATTAAGTTTGATAATATCCCTGTTGTTTGCTCAACATTAGCTGTACGTTTCTGACCCGCAACTGATTGTTGCGCACTATCAGAAATCCCCGTAGCTGTGGCCATAAATCTTTGATAGACTTTATTCCGGACTTTTCTGGGGAATGCAAGAAGGTAATTACGACCATCTCCTGAGAGAATACTTCCAGGGCCATGGGTTGTAGAAGATAGCGTTTTGTGAACCTCCGGATATCATCGCCAAGCAAGTTTTAAGAACGTATCGCCACGCCAGCTCTTGTTCACGAGAGATCAGGGTTTTGGTAAAGAATAAGGTTCGTACCCATTCACAGGGACACTTTCAATGTCCACGTATTTTGCGACTTTTCAACAATGTGAAACCATCTACGACGCGGTAACCCTGACCAGATAGTAGTAAACCTTCAGTGGTGTCCAGCCCTTGAATGCGGGCACACCGGAACATATAGATCGCTTGCCATTCTCCTGCAACAATCTCAACAGGGTTTGATTGTCTGGTACAGGTTGCTCTTCTTCATTCTCTCTGGTTCATCCTGTTGATCATCGGGATCCGGCTGTGCTTTAAATGTAGGTAGAGCTTGTAGGGGGGTAATGGGTGAGGATTCTTCAGTGATACTATCAGACCGCTCTGGTTCAGCTAACCCACAACTCACATTCCGTTGTTGTAGAGCGTGATAATGTAGTTTGCTGTGATGACTTGTAGCAACTTTATATTTTGGTGGTCCTTTTTCATGTTCAGGTCTAAATGGGTAGTGTAAATAAAACAATTCATTCTTCATCATTTTCTTGCGCATACGATGAGGTCCTTCGGTCATGTCCAACATCCATTTATCATAGGTACAAGGTAAAGGTGATCCCCATAGACCCCGTTCCCTTGTCAGCTCTGTTTCTGTTTGTAACCATTCCTGGTGTACATAACGTTGAGTATGTTGGGTAGTGTTAATATGTTGACCCCTTCGGATTTCCACTAATTCCTTAACCAGATTCACATGGCTCAACCCCCAGGTCATTGCTTGCTCTTTGGTCACACGCACCCTAACTCTGGAGACTTCATCTTTTCTTACTTTGGTTCTACTAGCTAATCTGGTGAGACCTCCTGTGACTTTATGTATCTTGCTCTGGATCTGGTTATGCAACTCCCATGGGACTCTATATGTTGCCTTCCTCTCAGCATCAACATAATTCAACCATAATTTCGTAGCTGCTTCCAAGACCTGCTCCCTTGCAGTGGTCAAATCAGGTGCTTTACAACCCTGTGCAGGTGACACCAGTGTTATCTTAAACACTTCTTCAATCGCAGGTTTCTTACAAACATACAACTCCTCCCAGACTCTCAACGCGGCACCCGCCATTAAATTCCTCCCTTGATGAGCATTCAAATTATCATCCTGAGTCTCCAAATCTGTTCCGGGATTAACATGCCACGTGGTTTTCATGTTGGAATCCAACATGATCTTCATATCCGAGGTTAACTGCAGTAAACAATAGGTTAAACAACCCACAAAATCAAGTTCATGATTCCCTGCTCCAAAGACAATCAATCGGTGTGTGGTCAATTTATGCAACGCTTCCAACACAGACATTTGATCCGCAATATTATCCGATGGTCTTGATAACAAAAACAGGATACTTCTATTCAGACAATGATAAAGACATTCAAACATAATATTTCCAGAGTGCCTCTTTGCTTGACCAATGAGTTTAATGATGAAATCATAGACTTCATGCGGGTCTTTATTCAAAGATGTCTGCCACAACTTGTCTACTATCCGTGCCGTTAGATAGAAAACATTAGGAGCCACATGTTGCACGTGGGCATTCGCTAATGGTACTATTGGTATTGCAGCTTGATCACCAACTAGCATATCCGCAGCTAGTAAATGATCCATTAACGTAACCAATATTTCAGTTTGATAAGCACTCTGTTGTGCTACTGTAGCATTTTCCGGGTAGGCATCTAACACTAAATCAATAACAGGTGATGTTTTCCCTGTTACATTCAAACTGAGTGAATCCACAACAATCACCCGAATAAAATCAACTATGAATTGTCTTGCTGGGTGATTAGTCAGGTTAAACGCTTCAGTTGGGGATTGTGGTACAAATACTGTTTCGTTTTCTTCTCCTGGTGTGGATGCTCCACTACTGTAGGTACTTTCTTGTGCACTAGCTTGAGATGGGAATAGTACACTTGCCAGAGCTCCCAGGACTTCAGCAGACATAAAAATCGGCATGAATTCTGGTAAATTGTGATATAGTTGAAACAACACTGGAATTATGTTGATAGAGTGGTTTTTCTACTTCTGGGGGAATGTGCAAAAGAAGGTAATTACGACCATCTCCTGAGAATACTTCCAGGGCCATGGGTTGTAGAAGATAACGACGTTTGTGAACCTCCCGGATATCATCATAAGCAAATTTGGAGCAATGTCTCATAGCTCTGGACCTTCTAGGAGATCCAGGGTTTGGTAAAATTGGTTCGTACCCATTCTGGGGGACACTTTCAATGTCACGTATTTCACGACTCTTCAACAATGTGAAACCATCTACGACATAACAATGCTCCTGCCCGAATAATAATAAACCTTCAGTGGTGTCTAACCCTTGGATCCGTGCACACCTGAACATATAGGTCACCTTTTCATTCTCCTGCAACAATCTCAACAGGGTTTGATTGTCTGGTACAGGTTGCTCTTCTTCATTCTCTGGTTCATCCTGTTGATCATCGGGATCTGACTTCAGACGTGCTAGATGTGGTAGGGCTTGTAGGGGTAAAGGTGAGGATTCTTCAGTGATACTATCAGACCGTTCTGGTTCAGCTAACCCACAACTCACATTCCGTTGTTGTAGAGCATGATAATGAAGTTTGCTATGATGACTTGTCGCGACTTTATATTTAGGTGGTCCTTTTTCATGCTCAGGTCTGAATGGGTAGTGTAAATAAAACAATTCATTCTTCATCATTTTCTTGCGCATACGATGTGGTCCTTCGGTCATGTCCAACATCCATTTATCATAGGTACAAGGTAAAGGTGACCCCCATAGACCCCGTTCCCTGGTCAGCTCTGTTTCAGTTTGTAACCATTCTTGGTGTACATAACGTTGAGTATGTTGGGTAGTGTTAATGTGTTGACCTCTTCGGATTTCGACCAATTCTTTGACCAGATTCACATGGCTCAACCCCCAGGTCATCGCTTGCTCTTTGGTCACACGCACTCTAACTCTGGAAACTTCATCTTTTCTTACTTTGGTTCTACTAGCTAATCTGGTGAGACCTCCTGTGACTTTATGAATCTTGCTCTGAATCTGGTTATGCAACTCCCAAGGAACTCTATATGTTGCCTTCCTCTCAGCGTCAACATAATTCAACCATAATTTCGTAGCTGCTTCCAGGACCTGCTCCCTTGCTGTGGTCAAATCAGGTGCTTTACAACCCTGTGCAGGTGATACCAGTGTTATCTTAAACACTTCTTCAATCGCAGGTTTCTTACAAACATACAACTCCTCCCAAACTCTCAACGCAGCACCCGCCATTAAATTCCTGCCTTGATGAGCATTCAAATTATCATCTTGAGTTTCCAAATCCGTTCCGGGATTAACATGCCACGTGGTTTTCATGTTGGAATCCAACATGATCTTCATATCCGATGTTAACTGCAGTAAACAGTAGGTTAAACAACCCACAAAATCAAGTTCATGATTGCCAGCTCCAAAGACAATCAATCTATGTGTGGTCAATTTATGCAACGCTTCCAACACAGACATTTGATCCGCAATGTTATCCGATGGTCTTGATAACAAAAAAACAAGACTTCTATTCAGACAATGATAAAGACATTCAAACATAATATTTCCAGAGTGCCTCTTTGCTTGACCAATGAGTTTAAATGATGAAATCATAGACTTCATGCGGGTCTTTATTCAAAGATGTCTGCCACAACTTGTCTACTATCCGTGCTGTTAGATAGAAAACATTAGGAGCCACATGTTGCACGTGGGCATTCGCTAATGGTACTATTGGTATTGCAGCTTGATCACCAACTAGCATATCCGCAGCTAGTAAATGATCCATGAGTGTAACCAATATTTCAGTTTGATAAGCACTCTGCTGTGCAACTGTAGCATTTTCCGGGTAGGCATCTAACACTAAATCAATCACAGGTGATGTTTTTCCTGTTACATTCAAACTGAGTGAATCCACAACAATCACCCGGATAAAATCAACTATAAATTGTCTTGCTGGGTGATTAGTTAGGTTAAACTCTTCAGTTGGTGATTGTGGTACAAATACTGTTTCGTTTTCTTCGCCTGGTGTGGATGCCCCACTACTGTAGGTACTTTCTTGTGAGCTAGCTTGAGATGGGAATAGTACACTTGCCAAAGCTCCCAGGACTTCAGCAGACATAAAAATCGGCATGAATTCCGGTAAATTGTGATATAGTTGGAACAACACTTGAATTATGTTGATAGAGTGGTTTTTCAACCAATCTGGTAGGGCGCTATTCTCCATGTGGACTATTGCACGTGCCATACCAAGTAAAACAACAACAGCATCCATACAAACGTTGACTTTAGGTGCAACACTGCTCACAGGTTGATTATTCACAGAGGTACCCCATAAAAATGCCCAAACTGAATCCAGATCGAATTTTGTATCACCCGGTAATAATCTCGCGGGTTGACCCATCATCAAACCAGTTAGCAGGAAGTAAATCTCCGGAACTTCTAGATGTTGTGGTAAAAGCCATCCTAAATGCTGAAAACCTGGTATCTGTAGAGTATCAGACTTAGAATCTGTGTTGTGTGAATTAATAGGTCCTCCCAACATAAGCGACATTTTATTCTGTGTGACTTGATCGGTGAATCTCAACCATCCTCCGTTAAAGGTACCATCTCTGAATCTATTCAAAAACGTAGGTGTAGAACACATCACTACCAATATTCTCATTCCCAAGATAACAGTAGTACTATGAAGGTGACTTTGGAGGAATAGTAACACCCAATCAAAACCCAGACATTTACTGAGTTCATCACATAACATTAAAGTCACTGCATTGCGGTTGGTGAACAACAATGCATGAACCAGGGACAAACAACGATTTCTGAGTAGGATATGTTCACCTTGTCCTTCTCTTTCTGTGTCACCCTCAATCAACTGCAGGTGTTTCTCTGAGGTATTACTTGATGGTAGAGTTGAAGCAATGAATTGTCCCATGAATAACAAATCCATTTGTCTGGGTTGTCCTGTTAGGAGGACAGAAAGCAACGAAAACAACACCTGACGTGTTGCGGCATGTTTAACATCCGGCATTATGTGTAACAATTTGGTCACCAGTTGTAAATCACGCATTATCCAAGTATTATTACGTTTTTCACTTGATTCCGTAGCTAATTCTAGTAGGTGCTCCAAATGAGATCTTAACAACTCACCAGGAGCTTCACTCCATACTTCTAAGTCACAGAGAAGGTCTTGGAACGCTGTTAAATTCGGTATGGCGGATGTTTCCCGACCACTATCAACAGTCCCCACTAGACTAAATGCTAGGTGAAGAATATGTGAGTTTAATAAGGGTCTTTTACGTCTTAATAACATCGCTAGGGTTTGATAACCACGTTTACGGTCCATTTCTCCTTGGCTGCTTTGTTACTCCGTACAACACAAACCAGAGCTTTGACAGCAGCGTATAAAGTCTCCACATCTTGGGCCATAGCTATCAGTCCCAGGAGAACTGCACAACCTCCCACGGTATTCACTACACTTGCTACCGGCCTGGGACAAAACACTCGAACCCCTAAATATCCTATAACCACTCCTCCAAGAGACCTAGAAGGTCCTGCTAGATGCCCAGCACTGTTGTGTAATATTCTTATCGGGGTAGCATTCTCATGACTTGACATCCCAAGTTGTTTCGCTATGGATTTATTGTCTGTACGACTGTAAACCTTGCGGATCTTGCTCAGTGTGAGTTGATTAACTGCTTTCGCATTCAATCCGAAGATAACCTTCTCTTCATTGACAAGTTGCATTGGTTCAAGTGTAGGGGTGTTAATATTCGGTGCTTGGAAAGAGCCCATATAATGTGGTCCTAGTTGATATATGTGATGGACAATCGTAGGGGTTAATACTTCTTCTAACAGATGACATGGTCCCTGTTTCCAGCAGAGTTTTGAATATCGCCGCCATGCGGGTGGTGTACCAATGAATCCGTAAATTGAAGACGCTACTGTTAAATTAGCACTACCCCCACCTGGGTTCTGTGAGATATAGTGTAGTTTTTGTGTGTGCATGTGTTGGCCATCCAGGTATAGACTGAATGAAGAGTTTTTTAATACTGCGCGGTTTAGAACTACAACCAGGTGGTGCCATTGTCCTTCTTGGAGGATATCTGGGCACCAGACGCGGGCGCCATATTCTCCGGTACCTTCTGGTTCCCATTCACCTATTTCTAAACAAAAACAAAATAAAATTTAAAAATTTGTTTTGATGTTTTCTGATAACTTACGGTTTGGAATGTGGGTTTCCTGAGTGGAGACAATAATAGCTTTATCCCTAGCTGATAAAACAATTGACAAACACACCAGGTGATCATCCCTGGTACTATTTAAATTCCTCACTAAGGTTAACAATCTAACACAATGAGGATCCGTCCGGGGATCTGAAAATTTATCCACACAGATCCAGCTTGAAAAGGATAAACCAGTCTGTGGTGGGAATATTCTATCCCCAGCCCCGATTCCTCCCAGGACTGTGTTATCAATACTAACAACACTCGGTGTATTCAATGATTGAGGTGCAATACTGGGTAAATACAAACATCCGAAACCCTCGGCGCTCATATCAAACTCCACGAATGGCGGAAGTGTACAGATACTCTGCGCTCGGAAATCCTTCGGGGTTGTCATGGATACAATCGTTTTGATTCTTGTTAGTGGCACTGGACCACCTCCAGCATCACTTGATTCCAATGGAATGCAATTCAAAGGACTACCAAGTCTCAAAAACTTTCTTAAATCAATCGGTTCCAATGCCTGCGCAGCCAAACGTTCCAACATGTATTGCAATGGGCTATGCAGGGGGTGGTCTTCATTCTGAAGTGGAGCTGACCCAATTGTCAACAGGGTCGAAACAAAACCACTATCGCACATTATCTGTTGATTTCGTTCACTACGCACCAAAGATTTGATAATCTCAGCGACATAAAACTGTAGTGCTAGAGTATGTTGTACATCCACACTTTTTATGCAAGGTAGAAGTTGTAACATGGCGACTACAACTCCGGGATGTACAATTATCGGGTCCGGTGTAGGTGGGTTCAGATTGAGTGAGTTTACTGCTGATCGTTTGCCGCAGTTGTTGATATTCGGTTCGGTTGATGGCTGACGTGATAACGAAGGTGATTTTGTCAATTGACCAGCGTTTATGTGAGGTTTATCGAAGAGATCCAAAGCTACATCGTACAACAATCGATAAACAACAGCAACATGTCCCAAATTCGCAGGAGTATCATCAGGAATCCTAAAAATTAATTATTTAAAACCATTTTCATTAAAAATAAATATAAAAAATTACTGTGGGTTTAAAACATTTCCAATGAAGATGTTGTGAAAAACATCCTGTAGTTTCAACTCAGGCGGACCTGAGCATGAAGTTCCCTCATGAATTTCATCGAGTTGTTCAACTTTTTCAATCGTAAAACAACCGAGTAGTCTGAGTGTATCACAAAGCGTCGTATTGCAGATTTCATGATGGAAAAACTTTGCATTCGCCGGTTCGAACCTCATCGCCGTGCTGATAGTGTAAAACACAACACTCAAAAGTGTTGGTATCTCAATCGGCAGATTGTTTTCATGTAGTTTGTTCTCCAAAGCGACGAGGACACTCGTGACGTAGATGAAACCATTCACCTTGCGGAAAACGGTCCGTGTCCGGTGTGATTCACGCAGACAGAGAAGCAGTGCTCTTAGGATATCGATTTTCACCTGTAACTGATCCCTTGGAGCGGAATGAAGTGTAGATAACAGTTGCGACATGTCATCGTCACCTCCATTCGTCAATACTAATTCTTTTATTATTCCTGTTTGAGAAACAAGCATATTTTAATATTTTTCTTAATTTTTTTCGAGTTTAAGTCTTACCCAAAGCACTTTGTCGACATTCAATGTAATTTACAAGTCCATGGACACATTTCGCACCTCCACATTCACGCAAAACATTCGCATTCGCTTGATTTCCGGCTAGAAGCATCGTTAAAGTCTCAATAACCATGCTACCTAGTTTTTCTTGACCATTCGGAATGTGAAAGTCTTTGTTTTTCTCCTGTGCGATGCGTCTGGCTTCCAAAAGATTGGCGTATTGATTCAAACAAGTGACAAACACCTCCAACATACCGACTTCTCGATAAACATCCTTGAATATCACATTGTGCTTCAACACATTGATCAATGTCTGCACACATTTGATGCTACAATCCGCATAATTCGTACTATGTGTCTTCAGAAAGATCGACATTGATATTAGTTCCTTGCACGGTACAAAATTCAATTCAAACACTAGAAACTCAATCAATTCGAATAACTTCAATTGAATCTCGGGTGGTTTGTGATGTACTTTTTCTATAAATTGACTGAGCGTGTTTTGATTCTCGAGGATGAAATAATTCGCGTTGTCTGAGTGATACACACTGCTTATGGCGTCCAGAATCGTTCCGCAGAGTATCGGCGACGTTGATTTGAGGAAAGTATTTTGTAAAACGTGGAATGCTTGAATATTCCGCACGCTTATCCCACGTCCCGAGGGTTGTGGAAGTGAGAATCCTTGCATTTGAAACAGACTACTCGTTGAGGCTTGTGAAGGTTTCAGTTCCATAAATCCACACATACAGAGCGATGTCACCATAAGCACAAGATTACGAATCGATTCTTGTGCATCCGGTGACTTTTCATTTTCAAGCTTAAGCAGGAAATCGCTGAGAAAGAGATAACTCTGCGCTTGCCGGAAGTCATCAAGCAGCGTGGCACTCACATCGCTTGAATCCTTGAGAAAACAAAAGACTGTCGCGAACATCTCGACCAATTCCAACGGTGCCACATCGGGCATTCGTTGCATATTGTCCATACACACACCGACGCATCGTTTCGCTGGAAATAATTTCGATTGATTGCACAATATATTCACAAGCAATTATTAAAAATAAAAACACCAAAAGCCAAAAACATGCACAAAACCAACAGAATGATTGCAAACCAGTGTAGATGTGTGTGTGTGTATGTATTGTGTAAATATTAGTTTATTAAAATATTTGTTAATAAAAAAAACACCCAAATAACAATATGTACAGAAAAAAGCAGTAATGAGTGAAATACGTGAAAAAAAAACAGTGCATAAACAATTGTGCCTTGCGTGGGCTTACAATGAATGTAGCTGACGACTGGTGGTGATAAGCCGTGCCTGGAGAGTGTCATCAACACCTCGGCGGCACTTTTACGCCACATGATGTTATGCTGTGGGCATTGCGACGTTATCGCTAAGAAAAGCAACGTCAGATCGTCTTTTCTCGCTAATTCCTCAGCTGGTTTCCGATGACTGCATAATCTTATTAACAACTGCAAAGAAAACAAGCAGAAATTCATTAATATCAGCGTTTTTTTTTATGAAAAGCACTAAAATGAAACATGATCCAAAGAATTCCAAAACAAATACTGTTTCAAAATACATATGACATGATTTTGACCGTTATTAAAATGAAATCAAATATCAATTACCTGTACGAATATTTTCTGCAGAAGAATGCGTCGTTCTCGCGGCGTAAAATCACTGTTTGTGTCTTTTTTATTGGCGTCCTCTTCGTTGACCTCTGGCAAGTCAAAAAATAGATACAAACACTTGACCAGCGTGCTAGGTACAGACACTTCGGACATGACTTGTACTAATGTAGAATCCCCAGCTGCTAATAAATTTAATGTACTTAACAACATCCAGCCATTACTGCTTTCTTCACAGTTCTCAATCTCGAGGAATTTCGTAATCGCGCAACTTGCGGTCTCGGTGCTTTGATTCGACGCACGTTTACGGATTTCGTTCACCATGAGCAGCGAAACTTGATGGCAAAACGCGAGAATGTCCCAGAATTTCTCATTCATATCACAACTTCGACTAGATCCAAAAACCTGTAAATATTTGATGATTTTACGTGTTTTTTAATGAGAATTTTGGGTAAAATTAACCTTGCAGAATAAGGGTAACATGTTGTAGAGTTTATCGTCTTTTTCGGCATCGCTGAGCGGATGCGATGGGTGTGTGTATTCTGAAAAGAGTTTCTTCAAATGTTGCAGCCCTAATTGGGTGTGGGGAGAGTCTGGAGGGCCGTCGGTGGATTCAGTGGAGGCGGACGCCGCGCTGGCCATTCCGCCTCTCAGTTTCCTCATGATATTCATCTTTTAGAATTCCAAATCTCACTCAATTTGCATCTAAAACACACGAAAATAATCGGTTAATATTAAACAACGCCACGAAATCAAAGCGAATCAACCTACGTTTATGTTTGTTTATAAACAAATAAATAACGTAAATAAACCAATGTAAAGCAGCGAATTGTCAATTTTGGTTGCCTGTGCGCAGCGTAGGAGAACATTGATTGATTTTGAGCGAGCGTTCTAGTTACACTTTTAACACTCTCGCGAAACGTTTGCTCGATGTGTAATGATTGAAATGTGAGCGTACGTACCTAGCGAGTGTTTGCAGGCGCACGCTGATTTTATTGTCGCTGGCATTGCAATTACGCCCATTATGCTGGTGTTTTGTGTTTTGCTAATGGAACGAGCGTACCGACAGCTGACGATGAAAACACGACGCTCTCGACGATCCAGCGAGTGAACGACGCCGTCGCGAGCAATTGCAACGTCGCAATCATCGCTTTTACTTGCGCACTTGCAACAACATGGAAAACGCATGTGCGCGTCGTCGTTTTTATTTATCGAATTATTATTAGCATCATCCAGCGTTTAAACTTTATAAAAACCACAAAAATCCACACATTTGACGTAGTTTTACACATTTTTCATGTCCATATGATTTACATTGAGTTTCTGGTGACGCCATGTTTTTTTTTAATCCGCATCTATAAAAACGTTGCTTAAAAACCAATATTTCTTGTGTATTTCTTCAGTTATTTACTTGAATTTCATGATAAACTTGTTTTCTTATATTCCGCCATCGTATTTTCTGAAATATCTTGTGATATTTATAATTTATGTAATTATTACTTCACCCGGAAGTTTTTTCCATTGTTTCAATGTATAACAATCATAAACATTACAAAAACACACATTTATGATACTATATAAAACGCCGATGTATTTCCGTGGTAAACAAAATGGCTGCAACTCTTTTATCAGTATTGGGGCTGGTATCACCTCCGGATACCTGCCCAATCACACAAAACAATTTCTATCCCACTTGTAGTGATTACTTGAGTAGAACCTATGATTTTATTATTGTTGGTGGTGGTACTGCCGGTTGTGTACTCGCGAATCGCTTAACTGAAGACCCTGGAATTCAAGTTTTACTTCTGGAAGATGGGGATTACCCTTCGAGGGAAACAGAAGTTTGTTTATCATATTTTATTGTTATTTTCTGTTAGAAAGGTAAAACATTTCAGATTCCATTGAATTTTATATTTTTACAAGAAACCGATGAAGACTGGGCTTTCAAAGCTGAACAACCTGGTTATTTCAAAGGGGAAGCCTATCAGGTGAACCCATGGCCGCAGGGACACGCCCTAGGTGGTAGTAGTAGTATCAACGCAATGATTTACGCACCAGGTTTCCCAGTTGATTATGATTACTGGGCGGAGCTCACCCAGGACCCAATCTGGTCCTGGGATAACATGCAATTCTCTTTTGACAGACTCCATGAGAATGTTAAAACAACCCAGTATAGAAGCTATGTCACAGCGAGGACTTTAATAGGTTTAGGAGCTTTGGAACTTGGAATACCTGTTAATGAAGATGATATGTTTGGTTATAATGACCACCCGACTACTATCTATGAAGATACAAGATTCTCCATGGCCGAAGCCTACCTTAGACCTATAAAAGACAAGAAAAATCTCTGTGTGATGGTCAAACGTAGAGTGAACAAGATTATAATTGAAGGTACCACTGCTGTTGGTGTGGAAGTACAAGATCCCAAAGGTGTGGTGGTGATTAAACCAAAACGGGAGATTATTATCACAGCTGGAGCTATAAATTCTCCGAAATTATTGATGTTGAGTGGTATAGGTCCCCAGGACCATTTGAAGGAACTTGGTATTCCTGTGTATGCTGACCTACCAGTTGGGAAATATTTAGAGGATCATTTAATTGTTCCTGTCATTGCTACCATTTTTGATGTACCTATGCCTCCGTATAATATCATGAGAGATGCGTTTTGTGCAACTGGTACCCTTTTGAACAACATTGAATTGGCGAATTTTATCGGTTTCTTCAACACTAAAGGAAAAAGAGATAAACCTGATATTGAATTTATTCATTTTGAGTTCCTCACGCAGGATCCAACTTTCCTGGAGGCTTTCTTTGAGAAATTTGGAATTATTGAAGATGGAGAAATGTTTCTTCAAGATTTAGACCCGAAAACACCCCCTAGATTATTCCCGCATTATTTTGACGAAGGTGATGATGCTCAGGTGGTTATTGATTCGATCAATCAGATCGTTAAACCTTTATTATCTACTACTCCATTTATTGCAAGTGATTTGTTTCGGTTTGAAATTCCGGAATGTGATGAGTTCGAATACGAGTCTGATAAGTATTGGAGGTGTTATTTTACGTATCTGGCAGGGACTATTTATCACCCTGCAGGGACGTGTAGGATGGGTTTTGATAGAGTTACGTCAGTGGTGGATTCCAGATTAAGAGTATGGGGGATAAAGAATTTAAGGGTTGCTGATTCAAGTACTATTCCTGCTTTGGTCAGTGGGCATAGTAATTTGCCTACTTGTGCATTGGCTGAGAATGCTGCTGATATTATTAAAGTAGATAATGATATTTAAATAATTATTTTTAAAATGTTTTAAATTAAATGAAATTTATCTTTCTTATTATTTTATTTTTCTCGTGTTTTAAATATTTTTGGAGAGAAAGTACATTCGAGCGGCATCTAGGTTTAAAGTATTGCATTTTTAGGTAAACATGCTAGTTGTTTAGATAGTGTGATGCACGCGCAACTTTGTGTCCATGTGACACACGTACACGGGTGCACCTCCATAACAAGTGTGACCACTCACTGACTTAGTCAAACATTTTTACATGCGTGGCTGTGCGCCACACTCTACGAAACACTCTATATTTTTAGGAGGTATGTTCAAGTCACCTTAGAGGTCGCAACGATACAATTTCTACGTAAAATAGTCGCACGATAAAGATTAGTGTGCTTGCACCTCGTGTCTCGTGCGGCGTGCCGCGTTCTTTATTCTTAATTCGGTAAATCGCGATCTATTTTATTAACATTAATAACAATCGTCAATATTGACTGTTAATAGATTAGTTTTGTGTTTGACTAAGGAGTTTTCTGTGGAATTTTTCTAAATGTGAATTTATTGTGTTTATTATGTTTAATTTCACGAGTGTTTCCGTGAGTGAGTTGCCGTCGGACGCTGACTGTCGATATGTTGTGATTTTCAATTGTTGTTATTATTAAAATTAATTTGTATTTGACTTTGGACTTGTGCAAATCACTTTTGTCGTCAAAAGATATTCTTGTGCTTATGTACTACTTGGTAAATATTTTGATTTTATTAATTATAGCAATTATCCAAAATGGTGCGGATTTGTAAAACTAATCTTCTGTTTCTTCTTTATTTTAGGATCTACTTTTGTTTAGTTTACAATGATCGAAGGGCATGTAAGTGAATAAATTAAATATTTTATAGTAGGTATTTGTTTACTAAATGCAGTTGCAAGTTTATTTGCTTAATAATTACATTCATGCATAAAATGGAAATGGAATGAATATAATAAGGATTAAAAAGATAAATTTGTAATATACTGTTTAAATTATGCAATTTATTATTATAAATGAATACAATATTGACTTGTATTTATTATGTTTGTATTTAAATGCAAACGAAGTCAATTTCATTCGAGAATTATATTCGTTTTACACACGATGTGCTTATCTGAGTTTGCATGTAAANATTTTTAGGTAAACATGCTAGTTGTTTAGATAGTGTGATGCACGCGCAACTTTGTGTCCATGTGACACACGTACACGGGTGCACCTCCATAACAAGTGTGACCACTCACTGACTTAGTCAAACATTTTTACATGCGTGGCTGTGCGCCACACTCTACGAAACACTCTATATTTTTAGGAGGTATGTTCAAGTCACCTTAGAGGTCGCAACGATACAATTTCTACGTAAAATAGTCGCACGATAAAGATTAGTGTGCTTGCACCTCGTGTCTCGTGCGGCGTGCCGCGTTCTTTATTCTTAATTCGGTAAATCGCGATCTATTTTATTAACAATAATAACAATCGTCAATATTGACTGTTAATAGATTAGTTTTGTGTTTGACTAAGGAGTTTTCTGTGGAATTTTTCTAAATGTGAATTTATTGTGTTTATTATGTTTAATTTCACGAGTGTTTCCGTGAGTGAGTTGCCGTCGGACGCTGACTGTCGATATGTTGTGATTTTCAATTGTTGTTATTATTAAAATTAGTTTGTATTTGACTTTGGACTTGTGCAAATCACTTTTGTCGTCAAAAGATATTCTTGTGCTTATGTACTACTTGGTAAATATTTTTATTTCATTAATTATAGCAATTATCCAAAATGGTGCGGATTTGTAAAACTAATCTTCTGTTTCTTCTTTATTTTAGGATCTACTTTTGTTTAGTTTACAATGATCGAAGGGCATGTAAGTGAATAAATTAAATATTTTATAGTAGGTATTTGTTTACTAAATGCAGTTGCAAGTTTAATTGCTTAATAATTACATTTATGCATAAAATGCAAATGGAATAAATATTCTAATAAGGATTAAAAAGATAAATTTGTAATATTCTGTTTAAAATATGCAATTTATTATTATTAATGAATACAATATTGACTTGTATTTATTATGTTTGTATTTAAATGCAAACGAAGTCAATTTCATTCGAGAATTATATTCGTTTTACACACGATGTGCTTATCTGAGTTTGCATGTAAACAAATTTTTTTTATTGCATTCGACGTGTGAAATGCAACGCGCAAAAGAGTCGTTGCCTTCATGTATCATGCCATCGACGCGCTGGCTTCGGAATTCATATCTTATCTGATTCTGTCTTATCGCATCAGTTGTGGCGCGAATTCGCTCGCTATATTTGCTATGCTTGTTCTTTGAATGAATTGCGTATAGTTTCGTGTCGGTTACTAGTTAGTTCTGAGGTGTTATTCGCAGCTGATTGTTTGGCACGTTGTGTTCTCTATTTGTATTAATTAACAAACAATTGTATTTAATTTAAGCCGGGTGTATCTAAGATATTTGCTTAATTCATATTAAACAAACTCTTTCACGTCGAAGGGTGGAAAATACAGATAGATATTCAATATTTTCAGCACATATTTCGACAATAAACAGTGTGTTTGGATGCACGATTGGATAACATTCTTAGCATTTGTATAAACTGTTCTAATTTAAATTCTCTTACTTTTAGTCACGTTTTTGGTCCTTTTAACGCACGAAATTAAATTATTTTAAATTCTTATCTAATGCAGAATTTTCCAATCTTTCATAACTGTCAATCCCTTGGTACTATCGCTTTTAGTTTAAAAGATATGCACTATTATCGTTTATTCACTCGAATATGTCAAGAACGTTAATTTTTCCTTGTTTATTTAGTTATATTGCAATTGATCGCAATTGTATAGTTGAGTCTCATTCGGTTTACTGTAGCAGAGTGTCGATAGAAGCGACTCGTGTTCTGGGCACCGTACGTGGATGATTGTATAGCTGACTCCCATTTGCCCATTTTTTCTTATGAATAAAAATTTCATCTCTTATATATGCATTTTAAATAGTTTATGTTATAGAAAATAGGCCGCAGATGCACTGCCCGCGATCAGATCTTAATTATCTCTTTTAGTTTACGAGATATTCGCGATTGAAGAAAATCGTCAAAAATTGGAAAATGTCACTTTTTCGCACTTTCAGTCGCGTTTTTTGACCTTTTACTGTGGGAAATATAATTGTTTTATATTTTTATTTGATTGAGAATTTTCCAATCTTTCATAATCAACAATTCGTTGGTAGCTATCGCGTTTAGTTTAAGAGATATTAATTATCAAAA